TATTTTCGGTCACTTATTTTACGTTCAACTGAATTTCTGTTGAGCTGCCATACGAACGTAATTTATTCAGTTACTATTGAGCGTTAGTACGGGGTGTTCGTGTCGTCGAGTGCAATGGATCCATTAAAAATATTGTGTATTTACGAAGCATATTCAGAAGATGAGGCCAGAAAAAGAAACTGGGTAAACCCACTGAATAGACAGAGGCTGATATGTGGACATTTCCATACTTTATATGAACGTTTATGTGCAAATCCAGGTATGTTTGAAAAGTACTATCATATGCCATTACGTGTTTTTCAAGTATTATTACACCACGCAACTTGTAACAATCTGTTGCTTCCCCACTCCCCTTCCTTGCCCTACCCTCGCCCCGACCGAGCTTATGCGCATTGAGTCGGCAGACAACTCATTTTGCGTTGTCGTGTGGCACCAACTGCCCATTTGTATGAAACCGAATGCAGCAGAATTTCTGCGACCGAAATTCTGCGACTCACCACTCACAAAATTACGCTCGTTTGGCCTCACCCTTAAAGCGTATCAGGGCGTTGTGCAAGTACAAGGACGAGAAGTTACAGAAATCGAATAATTTAGAAAGAGAATTGAAAATATGGGCTAGTAAAGATACCTTTAACAATTAAAGCTTTTTGTTAGGGCGTGAGGCGGCAATATTCTATTTACTAGCTACAATTTAATGTTGTTATTGTCCAATATATCGCACCTATATCGCACCCAAAAAATAGCAAAATGACTTTTAAACGTGAAACGACATAAAAACATGTATTCTATCAGTTTATTAATAATAAACAAGCTCTTTTAGGCCAGAAGAAGACAAAAGTACTATTTCCGTCTCTCTTAAATGACACGCTTACCGCGCCTCCCTCAGTATTGAAGTGCCCCATTCAGTGTTGCGTGGACATTTATTTCATTTTCCTTTAATTTAGAAAATCATTAATTATTAAAGTAGCATATTACAAAACTGGTCATCTATTAAATATATAACATCAGAAATGAATCGCCTCTATTTTAAATAGTTCCGTTTTTGTTTTATGTTGTTTAGTAAAAAATGGACACAAAGTGAAATAAGCCAATTATAATAAACTGTGTGCGGAAAATAAGTGACATGTTTTTGTTTTCTGATGATTAATTAACAAAGTTTCTAATTAGTTATACAGACTGGTTTAGTAAACAAACGTGATAGCAATTCCTATCCTAACATTAACAATAAAATATATGATAATAAACGTAAAACTTATAGCATTACTAGCTGACTCGGCGAACTTCGTACCGCCCAAAAGTAATAATTTGCAATAAATTAAAATTGCGACTATAATTTGAGATTTAAACTATCCTATCTCTAAAGTTGGATCGAACTGCACATGGTGTGCGAATTTTATTATAATCGGTTCAGTGGTTTAGGAGTCCATTGAGGACAAACATTGTGACACGAGATTTATATATATTAAGATAATAGAAAAACAAAAAAATGGCCAACTTGTCAATCACATTTTTAGCGTTTACCAAAAAACAAGAATTTTTGATTAGGTCACTTCAATTCTAAAGATGCGATATGCACACAAGACATTCACAAATAATAAGGGTTTAAAATTATCGGAGCGGGGAATAGATGAAGGAAGCAACGTATATAATGAGGGCGGTCATTTCATCAGTTGTTCACCGGCAGTGCCCTCTTGTGAATGTCATAAAATGCCACAAGATCTTGGACGCACTGTTCCTCTATAACGTCTTTTGGTGGGAAGTCCGCTCTTTTCATAATGTAGGATAGGTGGGAAGTCCGCACTTTTCATAATGTAGGATAGGTGGGAAGTCCGCACTTTTCATAATGTAGGATAGGTTGGAAGTCTACACTTTTTATAATGCAGGATAGGTGGTAAGTCCGCACTTTTCATAATGTAGGATAGGTGGTAAGTCCGCACTTTTCATTATGTAGGATAGGTGGGAAGTCCGCACTTTTCATTATGTAGGATAGGTGGGAAGTCCGCACTTTTCATAATGTAGGATAGGTTGGAAGTCTACACTTTTTATAATGCAGGATAGGTGGTAAATCCGCACTTTTCATAATGTAGGATAGGTGGTAAGTCCGCACTTTTCATAATGTAGGATAGGTGGTAAGTCCGCACTTTTCATAATGTAGGATAGGTGGTAAGTCCGCACTTTTCATAATGTAGGATAGGTGGTAAGTCCGCACTTTTCATTATGTAGGATAGGTGGGAAGTCCGCACTTTTCATTATGTAGGATAGGTGGGAAGTCCGCACTTTTCATAATGTAGGATAGGTGGGAAGTGCGCACTTTTCATAATGTAGGATAGGTTGGAAGTCTACACTTTTTATAATGCAGGATAGGTGGGAAGTGCACACTTTTCTTAATGTAGGATAGGTGGGAAGTCCGCACTTTTCCTAATGTAGGATAGGAGTTAAGTGCGCACTTTTCATAATGTAGGACGCGGGATATGACTAGCACGCTGCCCGAGTCGGTGGTGTAGGTGTAGAGAAGACAAACAACAAAAAAAAACCTAAAATGACTATGTTATCACCTCTTTGAATCATACATGAATACCATAACCTAATTGATAATGAGTGAGATCCCTAATAGAAAATACAGCGAGATCTGCAGCATATTATATCTTTACTAAAATACTAACGAAACATTGATTGCCTTTAGCATTAATTAACATGTTCGACTTGAATAATATTAATACAGTAATTGCTGTTTATTTTTTATTAACACATTTAGGTTAACTTTTAGAAAACATCTTCACAGTCAGTATAAAATGCAACATATATTATTAACTATGAATTTATTGCATTTTCAACCACGTAACTAAGTATGATTAAGAATTGTAATGTATACCCAGACTCAATTGCAGTCTGTTTATAAACCGACATACACATAACTCGGCGATTTCAATAGTATAATTAAAAACGTAAAAGTTATATCTAAAGAATACTTAATCTACTGGCGTGTCTTCTGGTTCCCAATTCACGAATTCCGGCGAATGGTATGCGGGGGCAGTGCTTAAATCTAACTACGTTTAATAGTAACAATTCATAAGACAATCGTCAATTAAGTTTAAGCTTGCTTTGTATATTTGGTCCGTAACTTATAAATAATTAATAACTCCTAATACATCGGACATGCAAATGATGATATTACTCAATATTTGACCCGTATAAACGTTAATAAATCAATGTTTACCCTAATAGCTGATCTTTCCCAGCTGCCAAGACGACACGACGGCAACAGATTCACGTCACTGAAATTATATCATAATATTATTACTTTTTTTTTTATTTTATTTGTAAAGGTACATTAAACAGCCAAAGGCCAGCAAAAATGTACACAGCTGAATAACATAAGTAAACCTTAGTTACCGAAAAGAAAACATATAAAGAAAAAAAATGGTTGCCTGTAAAGTCGGTTTTACGGGCGAAGATTTTACGTGACAACGTCTTTTTCTCGGTAGAATATTTATTGATATGAATATAATTAAATTGCACAATAGGAACAAGGAATTGAATGAAAATAAGAATTGCACAAATTTTAACTATAGAAATATATTTTGTTTACTAAAACATTGTACATGTAAACTTAAACTTAACACGAGAGACTCATCGTAACGTTACCGAGCGTTACACTTTTTCATAAGTGACTCCCAGCCGCAACCTAATTTAAGACGTTGTCACGTCAAAAACATTGATGAAATAGTCTTCAATCAGGTGATGAAACAAAGCGGGCGAAAGGAATGATAACTTGATATTACCCGAGGAAAATCACTAATTGGGTACGAGTCTAAAAAACATTCATGTATCTGCAATCAACCGAAATGAAATAAAAACATGCATAAAATAAACAATAAATATGTATATGTATGTATTACATACAGTTCTGTCTTAGACTGGGCGCATATGTACGGTTTTCTGATCTGGAATATCGGTTCGGAGACCAGAATGCACGTCCTTACATACTTATTTTGTAAGAATGGAAAAAAACCTAAGTTCGGTAGAAACTACTTAATAAAAAATCGATCGAAACGTTTGCGCTAGGCTCACGCAATGAGGATCAATCACATAATAGCAAATCTAAATTTTTACTAAGTGCATCGTATGCGCAATAAATTACTGAGCATTTAATAGGGTATTTGACAAGTTTTAGAAAACGATCTCACGTTATTCACTAATGTTTATGGAGCCCGTAAAAAGTGGATATTCATCATTCTGTTGTGTATTTCAGTAAAAATAACCAAATCAAAAACTCAATTTTCAAGTTGCTGCGAAAACGTTTCTCTGTACAATATGGCGTCTTACTAGTGTGTGACGTCACACGACTGATATTAAAACGTCAAACGATACAATGTAATGTCACTTTAACCGGAAGTTTACTTGCGTGTGACGTCATTTTAGGCTCCGCCAATCCCAAGTTTTTCGGGTCACTTGACAATAGATAAGAAAACTGTTATCTTTTTCGTTAGTTTTTAGTAAAATTATGAATATTTTTTTTGTAACAATATAAAAAACCCCTGTTAATATTCATTCTAAACACAGATGCTAACAATTGCCACTTTATTTTTAACACTTAGACCGGGAGATGATGACACAAAATACTTGGTCATTTGTACCAGTATGGCGGTTCTTCAGGGGTCTAATTACGTAAAGGCAAAAAGGAAAATGATGGTCATAGCGCTCGCACCGGCGGCCCAATCGCGTGGGAGTTAATCGAACGCGTCGGATAAATTACTTACAGTCGGTATGGCGGGCTGTAAGTCACACCCGAGAAGTATGGCATTACGCTACCGCCTACTTCTTTTTTTCGACTATCTGAAAATATAAGCATTTTTGTGGAACAAATCGTTCGACACTCGTTATTTATCCGACGCGTTCGATTAACGCCCACGCGATTGGGCCGCCGGTGCGAGCGCTATGACCATCATTTTCCTTTTTGCCTTTACGTAATTAGACCCCTGAAGAACCGCCATACTGGTACAAATGACCAAGTATTTTGTGTCATCATCTCCCGGTCTAACTGTCAAATACCCTATTTTTTAAATTATTCAAATTCGTCAAGAAACGATGCATTTATTAAAGTTTTTCTGAAGGGCTCCTTTGAAACGCGAGCTCTAACTCGATTCTTTACGATGACGTCGTCTGTTATGATCCATGCGATCACTCCAATATATTTTTTATCTTGGGTCCTTAATTTTAAATATAGTAATTGATACGTACCTTGTATGGTAAATCTCGGTTATATTAATACTGCCGCTTATTCGCAACATAAATCTGGCCTCTAATTACAACAATAGGAACACGTAGGCATGATGACAATTTATGCTCGGTGTAGGAACGGCAAAAAAGTTGCCGCTGTGCTCAGTTCAAAGACGGCCAAAGGACAAGACCTTCCTTCGAGTTGGGTGATGGTAGCTTGGGATCACGGCCCGACTTAGGCTTGTTGAAAATACATCGATGTATCGATATATTGATATTTTTTGCCGATATATTTTGATTCGATATATCGATACATCGATACAAAATAACCAATATCGAAATTCGTATCAAAATCGATATTTTTTTTTTAAATATTAGCGGCATATCACGATACAATTAAATTTGTATCTGGAAAAATCGTAACTGGATCTCAGATTAATGATATTCAACATATCTATGATCTGTGCTGTATTTAGTACTGTCTATGATTTGTAAATCTGTTTCGCTGGTGAATTAGTTGTGCTGAATTCCATTATATTCTGTGGAAGTGTGCGACTGTCTAGTCTTGTTTGCGAAAGATGGCAACTGAGAGGTCATGCAATCATTTTCATCATTCCAAAATAGGGTCTATTTTTAAGGAGATAATTTTCGTTCCATTATTATTCCGCGTGTCATATTTCGTGAGATACTGTACTGTCATGTAGTGTAGTGCCAATTTTGTACTTTGATAATTCTTTCTTTAATTATAATTTGTATTGTTATTATTACTGTGCTAGGCTGATCTAAATATATTTTTGGGAAAATTGGTCCGATATATCGATGTTTTTTTCGCGATATATCGAAGCCGATAAAATATCGATGTATCGATATATCGATATTTTTTTCAACTTTCGACATCCCTAGGATGACGGCCCGACTTACTAATGTATGTCGGTCGGGCATATCATATATGAAGGATTAGCTTTCGAATTTCTCTTGCGCGATGTAGGCTTCCATACTTCATGAGTTCAGCGCCGGCGGCGCCATCTCTCGACGAGGCCAGTGATTACTTCCTCCATGTTGGTTAAATGAGGGGTGTGGAGAAGTCGCATCCTCACTCGGTGTATCGAGATAGTACTCACCTAGCTGTCTTCCCCGGGGCCGGGGCCGGGGCTGGGTTGGGCCAGGAAAGGGTGCCTTAGGGCTTGGTCGGCGGTAAGACGTTGGGCAGGTAGGGGCTGAAGCAGACCGCACGCTAGAGAAAACGCCGCATCTGGGAATCCGCCCCACCACAGGTCTCCGCGGATATCCGTCGCCTGTATCAAATCATTTTTGAATTTTAATTAAGATTTTCTTATGAATTACTAGCGGCTTGCCCTCGCTTCGCTTCGGTGTAGAAGTGATGTGTAGACTACAGTTTTTGTTCTCAGGCTTGTATTATACACGATGACATTTATCTACGATTCTTTTTATACCTGCATGCAAAGACTCAGCCCGATCGGTTTAAAATTAACAAAGTTTCATACAAACTTTCATTCCCTATTTTATCCCCTTGGGGGTAGAATTGATCAAAATCCTTTCTTAGCGGATGCCTACGTCATAACATCTACCTGTATGACAAATTTCAGCCCGATCCGGCCAATGGTTTGGGCTGTGCGTTGATAGATCATTATGTCAGTCAGTCACCTTTGAGTTTTATATACAGGGTGTGACAAAAGTCCGAAATAAAACTTTAGGGTTTGGTTGTGTTCCTTGTATAGAAATACCTACGAAAGTTTGACGCCTTTCAGATCACTTTTATTTTCTAATTAAATTAATAAAAATATCGTTTTACACCTGCCTATGACAACCATATAAATGCGTACGATTACTACTACCTAAACAGACCCCCCTCTCTCCCCCAGGCGCCCCTGCGCCCCGCTCAGATACCTACAAATTTTTATTTCGGAATACATATCTACAAATTTTATTTCGGAATTCTGTAACACTGTGTTATAGACTAGCTGACCCAGCGAACTTCGTACCGCCATAAAAAAATAGGAGTTGCTGGTAGAAAATTGAAAATTTAGGGATGTATGTATTTTTGTATGATGTATCATAAAAAAAATATATTTTTTTTTATCTAAAATTGAAAAAAAAAATGTGGATGGATTACCCTTAACATTTAGGGGGCTGAAAAATAGATGCTGTCCGATTCTCAGACCTACCCAATATGCACACAAAATTTCATGAGAATCGGGAAAGGTTTCATCATCATCATCATCATCAGCCTATTAATGTCCCCACTGCTGGGACACAGGCCTTCCCTATGGATGGAATAGGGAGATTGGGCCATGGCCCACCACGCGGGCCCAGTGCGGATTGGCGGGTGCTAACGACTGCAGATGCAGCCGGGACCAACGGCTTAACGTGCCTTCCGAAGCACGGAGGAACTCCAGACAGATGTTTTTGGTCACCCATCCAATGACCGACCACTGCGAAAGTTGCTTCACTTCAACCATCGCAGCCGAACGCGCTAACCACCTGCGCCATCGAGCTCCTCATCAAGCCGTTTCGGAGGAGTTTAACCACAAACACCGCGACACGAGAATCTCTTATCTAATAGACAAGTCCGTCCGTCCGTGGTGCTGTTTCAGCGGCCAAACCGTAAGAGATAGATAAAGAGAATGTTTAAGTTATAAGTTAAGAATAGTCTGATAAGACTACAAACCGGATGTGAGTAACGTAGCACTTCCGGTTTTGGAGAAATCACGTGATTTCTATTTCAAACGAAACCACACAAAATCTCCGAAGTTCTCAATTAATTAAATACTTTTTTTTATTTGGTGAACATTTGGTTCACTGGTTTGCTAGTTTTATATATTAGATTTTTAGGCATAAATGTGACCGCGACTTCAACCGTGCGGTACCAGGCGAGGAGCTCGATGGCGCAGGTGGCTAGCGCGTTCGGCTGCGATCGTTGAAGTTAAGCAACTTTCGCAGTGGTCGGTCATCGGATGGGTGACCAAAAATTTACTATCTCGAGCTCCTCCGTGCTTCGGAAGGCACGTTAAGCCGTCGGTCCCGGCTGCATCTGCAGTCGTTAGCACCCACCAATCCGCACTGGGCCCGCGTGGTGGGTCATGGCCCGCACTCCCTATTCCATCCATAGGTTCAGGCCTGTGCCCCAGCAGTGGGGACATTAATAGGCTGATGATGATGATGATGATGACCAGGCGAGGAGCTGTGTTTACCTTGACATTAGGATCCGGACACAGGCACTGGTCGGGCGGCAGTCGGCAGGGCCCGCAGGGGGCGGGCCGCGCGCGGGGCGGGGTCGCGGGGGGCGGGCCCGGGGGCGGGGTCGCGGGGGGTGGGCCCGGGGGCGGGGCCCTCAACCTCGCGCATAGCTTACGGAGGCACACGCCGCGGAGGGAGCACGACACTACCAGGCGACGACCTGACGCAAACATTTATTTAATTATTTATTGAAGTTATACTTCTTTAGGCGCGTTATGAAAAAATGATGAGAGTGAAATTTTAAGATGCGCGCGCATCACTGTTACTTTTGTGTTTACCGCACATTAAGAAAATCTACCAACAAAATAGAAATAGAATCTCTATTTAGTGGGTGCTAACGACTGCATTGTGAAGGCCTATCAAAAGTATTTATTAATTTGGAACAACGGAACCAAAGCGCGATTCAGCTCACCCATGGCGCTGGCGGCGTGCTGCAGCGGGCGCGTGCCCAGCAGGGCGGCGAGCTCGGCGAGGGCGGGCAGGTCCCGACCCCTGTGTCATGTGGGGCGGGGGGGGGGCGGGGGGGGCTCACCCATGGCGCTGGCGGCGTGCTGCAGCGGGCGCGTGCCCAGCAGGGCGGCGAGCTCGGCGAGGGCGGGCAGGTCCCGACCCCTGTGTCATGTGGGGCGGGGGGGGGGCGGGGGGGGCTCACCCATGGCGCTGGCGGCGTGCTGCAGCGGGCGCGTGCCCAGCAGGGCGGCGAGCTCGGCGAGGGCGGGCAGGTCCCGACCCCTGTGTCATGTGGGGCGGGGGGGGGGCGGGGGGGGCTCACCCATGGCGCTGGCGGCGTGCTGCAGCGGGCGCGTGCCCAGCAGGGCGGCGAGCTCGGCGAGGGCGGGCAGGTCCCGACCCCTGTGTCATGTGGGGCGGGGGGGGGGCGGCGGGGGGGGCTCACCCATGGCGCTGGCGGCGTGCTGCAGCGGGCGCGTGCCCAGCAGGGCGGCGAGCTCGGCGAGGGCGGGCAGGTCCCGACCCCTGTGTCATGTGGGGCGGGGGGGGGCGGGCGGGGGGGGCTCACCCATGGCGCTGGCGGCGTGCTGCAGCGGGCGCGTGCCCAGCAGGGCGGCGAGCTCGGCGAGGGCGGGCAGGTCCCGACCCCTGTGTCATGTGGGGCGGGGGGGGGGCGGGGGGGGCTCACCCATGGCGCTGGCGGCGTGCTGCAGCGGGCGCGTGCCCAGCAGGGCGGCGAGCTCGGCGAGGGCGGGCAGGTCCCGACCCCTGTGTCATGTGGGGCGGGGGGGGGGCGGGGGGGGCTCACCCATGGCGCTGGCGGCGTGCTGCAGCGGGCGCGTGCCCAGCAGGGCGGCGAGCTCGGCGAGGGCGGGCAGGTCCCGACCCCTGTGTCATGTGGGGCGGGGGGGGGCGGCGGGGGGGGCTCACCCATGGCGCTGGCGGCGTGCTGCAGCGGGCGCGTGCCCAGCAGGGCGGCGAGCTCGGCGAGGGCGGGCAGGTCCCGACCCCTGTGTCATGTGGGGCGGGGGGGGGCGGGGGGGGCTCACCCATGGCGCTGGCGGCGTGCTGCAGCGGGCGCGTGCCCAGCAGGGCGGCGAGCTCGGCGAGGGCGGGCAGGTCCCGACCCCTGTGTCATGTGGGGCGGGGGGGGGGCGGCGGGGGGGGGCTCACCCATGGCGCTGGCGGCGTGCTGCAGCGGGCGCGTGCCCAGCAGGGCGGCGAGCTCGGCGAGGGCGGGCAGGTCCCGACCCCTGTGTCATGTGGGGCGGGGGGGGGGCGGCGGGGGGGGCTCACCCATGGCGCTGGCGGCGTGCTGCAGCGGGCGCGTGCCCAGCAGGGCGGCGAGCTCGGCGAGGGCGGGCAGGTCCCGACCCCTGTGTCATGTGGGGCGGGGGGGGGGCGGGGGGGGCTCACCCATGGCGCTGGCGGCGTGCTGCAGCGGGCGCGTGCCCAGCAGGGCGGCGAGCTCGGCGAGGGCGGGCAGGTCCCGACCCCTGTGTCATGTGGGGCGGGGGGGGGGGCGGGGGGGGCTCACCCATGGCGCTGGCGGCGTGCTGCAGCGGGCGCGTGCCCAGCAGGGCGGCGAGCTCGGCGAGGGCGGGCAGGTCCCGACCCCTGTGTCATGTGGGGCGGGGGGGGGGGGCGGGGGGGGGCTCACCCATGGCGCTGGCGGCGTGCTGCAGCGGGCGCGTGCCCAGCAGGGCGGCGAGCTCGGCGAGGGCGGGCAGGTCCCGACCCCTGTGTCATGTGGGGCGGGGGGGGGGCGGCGGGGGGGGCTCACCCATGGCGCTGGCGGCGTGCTGCAGCGGGCGCGTGCCCAGCAGGGCGGCGAGCTCGGCGAGGGCGGGCAGGTCCCGACCCCTGTGTCATGTGGGGCGGGGGGGGGGCGGCGGGGGGGGCTCACCCATGGCGCTGGCGGCGTGCTGCAGCGGGCGCGTGCCCAGCAGGGCGGCGAGCTCGGCGAGGGCGGGCAGGTCCCGACCCCTGTGTCATGTGGGGCGGGGGGGGGGCGGCGGGGGGGGCTCACCCATGGCGCTGGCGGCGTGCTGCAGCGGGCGCGTGCCCAGCAGGGCGGCGAGCTCGGCGAGGGCGGGCAGGTCCCGACCCCTGTGTCATGTGGGGCGGGGGGGGGCGGGCGGGGGGGGCTCACCCATGGCGCTGGCGGCGTGCTGCAGCGGGCGCGTGCCCAGCAGGGCGGCGAGCTCGGCGAGGGCGGGCAGGTCCCCGGCGGCGCGCAGCAGCGGGTAGCGCCGCGTCAGCACCGACGCCAGGATCACGCCCGCGGCCCACGTGTCCACGCCCGTGCCCTGCGCGCACACCTTCAGCAGGACCTAAGAGATACCGACACTCTATCATTTTTCATATTCTTACTAATAATAAAATCATTCAAAAACAAAAAATTACAAAATAAATTTCCTAACAGTTCTACTTCAAATTCATTTATATCCAAAAACTATCCGAAGATCCGTTAAAACACACATTACAAAAAAATATCTGAAAGCGAATTTGACTCTTCAGCTATCCAATAAAACGTACTAACGAGAGCATTCTTTTTACCAAGTGACATGCTCCATAGAGCGGGCCAGTCCCCTCACCTCTGGCGGCCGGAACCCCTGTGTGCCGGCGCGCGAGGCCCGCGCCCCGCCCCGCGTGACCTAGTGACATGCTCCATAGAGCGGGCCAGTCCCCTCACCTCTGGCGGCCGGAACCCCTGTGTGCCGGCGCGCGAGGCCCGCGCCCCGCCCCGCGTGACCTAGTGACATGCTCCATAGAGCGGGCCAGTCCCCTCACCTCTGGCGGCCGGAACCCCTGTGTGCCGGCGCGCGAGGCCCGCGCCCCGCCCCGCGTGACCTAGTGACATGCTCCATAGAGCGGGCCAGTCCCCTCACCTCTGGCGGCCGGAACCCCTGTGTGCCGGCGCGCGAGGCCCGCGCCCCGCCCCGCGTGACCTAGTGACATGCTCCATAGAGCGGGCCAGTCCCCTCACCTCTGGCGGCCGGAACCCCTGTGTGCCGGCGCGCGAGGCCCGCGCCCCGCCCCGCGTGACCTAGTGACATGCTCCATAGAGCGGGCCAGTCCCCTCACCTCTGGCGGCCGGAACCCCTGTGTGCCGGCGCGCGAGGCCCGCGCCCCGCCCCGCGTGACCTAGTGACATGCTCCATAGAGCGGGCCAGTCCCCTCACCTCTGGCGGCCGGAACCCCTGTGTGCCGGCGCGCGAGGCCCGCGCCCCGCCCCGCGTGACCTAGTGACATGCTCCATAGAGCGGGCCAGTCCCCTCACCTCTGGCGGCCGGAACCCCTGTGTGCCGGCGCGCGAGGCCCGCGCCCCGCCCCGCGTGACCTAGTGACATGCTCCATAGAGCGGGCCAGTCCCCTCACCTCTGGCGGCCGGAACCCCTGTGTGCCGGCGCGCGAGGCCCGCGCCCCGCCCCGCGTGACCTAGTGACATGCTCCATAGAGCGGGCCAGTCCCCTCACCTCTGGCGGCCGGAACCCCTGTGTGCCGGCGCGCGAGGCCCGCGCCCCGCCCCGCGTGACCTAGTGACATGCTCCATAGAGCGGGCCAGTCCCCTCACCTCTGGCGGCCGGAACCCCTGTGTGCCGGCGCGCGAGGCCCGCGCCCCGCCCCGCGTGACCTAGTGACATGCTCCATAGAGCGGGCCAGTCCCCTCACCTCTGGCGGCCGGAACCCCTGTGTGCCGGCGCGCGAGGCCCGCGCCCCGCCCCGCGTGACCTAGTGACATGCTCCATAGAGCGGGCCAGTCCCCTCACCTCTGGCGGCCGGAACCCCTGTGTGCCGGCGCGCGAGGCCCGCGCCCCGCCCCGCGTGACCTAGTGACATGCTCCATAGAGCGGGCCAGTCCCCTCACCTCTGGCGGCCGGAACCCCTGTGTGCCGGCGCGCGAGGCCCGCGCCCCGCCCCGCGTGACCTAGTGACATGCTCCATAGAGCGGGCCAGTCCCCTCACCTCTGGCGGCCGGAACCCCTGTGTGCCGGCGCGCGAGGCCCGCGCCCCGCCCCGCGTGACCTAGTGACATGCTCCATAGAGCGGGCCAGTCCCCTCACCTCTGGCGGCCGGAACCCCTGTGTGCCGGCGCGCGAGGCCCGCGCCCCGCCCCGCGTGACCTAGTGACATGCTCCATAGAGCGGGCCAGTCCCCTCACCTCTGGCGGCCGGAACCCCTGTGTGCCGGCGCGCGAGGCCCGCGCCCCCGGCCGCCGCGCGCATCCCGCGCACACCGCGCCCCGTCCTGCGCACGCGCACGCAGTCCCCACTGCCGCCCCTGCATCACAAGGCCCCAGCTCCTGACAAACAATATACTGTCATTCTCCTCCTCACACCTAAGCAACTGGCGCAGGTACTAAATGTGCTGAATGAGCGATCCAAATTTGAATTAGATCTGTTCTAATCAACGATATTAAAAACCCTAGATACCCCACGGTGGGCGGTCAAAAAGTGTCCCAATTGTGAAGTGTTTGAACGACACTCGAGCACTGCTTGGTTCACAGTCACGCGCGGACCGAAAAGTCAACATACTGCAGAGCTACATGAAAAAATTCAATGTTGTTCTAATATTTATTATAAACTGATTTAATATAAAATATTTGTGGTATTCAAATGCATGGTCGGTTATATAGCCGTCTCTTTTCTTCGCGCTCCGCACCTGCTATATTGCTAACAGCGCATTCAGAATAACACGTAGAGTCAAAGAAATAAAGTCATTATTCTTACGCCTAAGGCGACGAGTCGTAAACGAGCTTGTATTTCGAACTGTTATAACTGCGTTTAAATTAAGAATTTATATGTATACTTGACAATAAATGTGACTTTGAATATTTCAATAATGCCTTATATTTATTTTTAACTGCGCAATACGGAACTCCGTGGATCATTCAATGTAGCTTTTAGATATGTTTCGGCCACGATTTTGTTCGTATTTTAGTATCTAGGATATTAAATATCATTAGTTCTAATGAATTAGCGAAATGCCTGTTTATAGACGCTAGACGATAGTTTGACCGGCGATAATTAGACACGCTCAAAGAAGTCGTAGCATACAATAAATTTATGAGTTCAAAGTTCGAACGCTAACTTTAACACATTTTAGTAGCAAAACCACCCAAGCTTCGCCACGCAGATTTAAGATAAAAGCATCACTGTTTATAATGAAACCGTAGATAAAGTATGGACTAAGCGATTCTCGCATTAAATTGACAACAATAACATCAGGTGGGGTAGTCATTTGCAAACGTAGCTATATATATATATATAATATACACACATCAAAAGTGTCTAGGGATCAAGCATTTTTATGCGGATTTCTTGAGATTGAGATGTGGCTTTGTAATAAAGGACAATGGCGAACTCCCATACAAATTTTTGTTGAAATTTTTTTTGCGTCTATGAATGAATTGCATCTTAAATTATAGAGTTTAGATTCTCGATTTGATTCGTCTTATTTCTATTATTATAGGAAGTCTGGATTTATAGATATTCTACTTTGAAGTTTTGGAGGTTATGTCATACTAAGTAATACAAAAACGAATTATTAAAGTATTTTCCAGATTTTTTTTATATCAAAATAAAAAATACGTGAACAGAACTATAAAAGTATACGGTTCCCGTAGATTAATGACGAAAAAAATGTTTTTATAATGTATGGTCAGTGGGCGTAAGTACTTACTGACCAACCGCGTCAAAATACTTAATAATACTAAACAGACCAGGGTTATTTAGTTCGAATACAATGTCTGTGCTGTAAGAAGTACTTAACAATTTGAAAATGACCATAGCAATAATAAAGTATAAAAAAGGATTTCTAATAGTGTACTGATGGGATATTAATTAAATATGCAACACTTTTTTATATATTTTTAATTCCATATCTTTGATCACAATATCGTAGATAGTAGATACAATGAAATAAAATACACAGCATGGGACGGAATCGTGTCCAAAATCCACTATAAGAAGTCGTCCGAAATATCAGATTCGGAAGTCTTAGGCAAGCACTACTCCACAGTCGCAGGGAAGATTTCGAGAGTCCGAATGCAGTCCAAGTCACGTAAAAACACAAATCACAAAAAAACACAATGCGCCGATTTAAATCGTTGCAATACGCATGCACAAGCACAAGCAACGATAATATTAACAATATCAACTACAATTCGATGACAAGCATGACAGTGACAGTTATAGTTTTTTGCGTTAGAATTGTCGCCATACCCTTTTTGTATTGTGGGAATTATTTATTATGGTTTCAGTATAATATTGAAAAATAATGTTTCCCGATATTTTTGATAGATAATTAAATACAGTTTAAGCGTTAAGCGATGCAAAACATACGATCAACATATTTAAAGTTGTTTTCATCACTAAAATCACTTAAAATAAATGGCTCAAAAGCCATGATGCCAAGCCACAATAAAAATAAAAAATAAATAGTCAATTGTGTTTCCCTTTTTTAAGTTTTTAATTCCAGACTTAGACAACCCTCCTGAATTATTTAATAAATCTTTTGAGATTATTTTATTAACATTTCTGATAATGACATCTATAGACGCTAAAGATTTACTTCAACAAATATTTCGCCATTGTCCTTTATGATTTTATAAATTTATATGGATCCTTTTTGGTGCATTTCATAATTTGAATCAGGAACTGTGAATCAAATTCGAGTAAAAGATGAAAATCAGCTGTCAATATTTTCCCTATAAAAACATACAACGCATTGAAGACATTATTAGTGCTACTGTTTCCCTACTACTGATTAAAACCAACGTTATTATGGAGCGGCGACGTCATTTAAGCAGGGAAGAAATGCTCAGAGCCGTGGGAATGATAGAAGCTGGTTCCCGGCAACGTACTGTGGCTTTAGCTCTGAATACAAGTCAGAGTGTTATCAGTCGACTTTGGACACGATACCGAAGCACTGGTACCGTGGCTGAGCGCCATAGAGGACGGTATCGCTGCACCACACGGAGACAAGACCGATACATTCAAATCTTAACTCGAAGAGCTCCAACAATAACCGCCATGATATTAGCCGTGAGGCTTCATCACTCTTCAGGGAACTTAATTAGCGACCAAACAGTCAGAAACCGCTTGCATGAAGTGAACCTTCATTCCCGAAGACCGCTACGGGTACCACCTATAGCAATGCACAATCGTAGGATTCGATATCAATGGGCTCTTGAACACAGAAATTGGGCAGAAGAACAATGGCGTTTCGTGTGCTTTTCTGATGAGTCTCGTTTTGGTATGAGACCGGATACAAGACGTATACGACACTGGAGAACCCCTGGACGCCAACAGCGATTAAAATCCTGCCAGGAAGTCCATCCTTATAGTGGTGGAACCATCATGGTATGGGCGGGTATTTGGATCGGCGGAAGAACTGAGTTGATTTGGATCAGAGGCAACCTCAACGCTCAAATTTATGCTGAGACGATTGTATCAGACGTCATCGTTCCTCTACAAGTGCAAATCGGTCCCTTATTTCAGTTAATGCATGATAATGCACGACCGCACACCGCAAGAGTTGTAAGACAGACTCTCGCCGCAGCTAACATCAATGTCCTGCCCTGGCCTGCTCAGTCGCCAGACTTGAACCCGATTGAGCATGCATGGGATATGCTACAGAGAAGAGCTCTGCCGAATATGGAGGGTATCCAGTCGCAAGAAGACCTTTTTTTGTTGTTGCAACGAACATGGGCGGCCATTCCACAGCGTGATTTGGATGAACTCATTTTGAGTATGCCAAACCGATGTTCTTGTGTTGTTAGTGTTCGCGGTAGAAATACGGATTATTAATTGTTTAAGTTACCCAATAAAATTTTAGAGAAAACTGTTATTTCAGTCTTTTTTTCGAACTTTTGTGTTAGTGGTTCAAATGTCAAAAATCCCTTTATTAGGAAAATGGCAAATTTCTTTATTAATGCAAAGGTGACTTGGTTTATCGTTACTGTGACAAACGAAAACACTTTATTTGATGAATCCTTAAAGAAAATTTTAATTAATATCAATCAGGAGAAAAGTTATTGCAAAAATATATGTTGATCCCTAGACACTTTTGATGTGTGTATATATCTTCTTAGGATTATATCTTTCTTCATACTGAAATTATTCAACTTAAAATGTACATTAAAAACGTAAATAAAAATCCTGTTTTCAAATATGCCGCGGAAAGAATTCCTTTATCAAATAAGTTACGGGCAGTTGACGTCACACGGCTCTCAACATCAAACAGTAGAAAAACTAATGTCACTTCAGCATGTTTACAAGCAGGTGATGTCATTTCAGGCTCCGCCCATCCCAGGCATTTTCGAACATGTGACAATAGATCAAAAAATACTTATTTCATGATTCTTAGTAATATTGTCAACAACTTTTTTTGTCAAAAAAAAATCTCTTCCAATATTCATGTTAAACACAGACGGCAAATTTGGTTCATTACTTTTCATGCTGTAAAATAGCCTATTGTAGTGTGCTTAGTTACTTAAATAAACTATTTTAGTTATATTATTATTATTTAAGCATTTAACTGGTAGATGTTTAAATCTAAAGAAAATTTTCCTAGAAAAAACATTGTGAGTAAAGGTTAGACCATCAGGGCCGCGGTAGCATAATAGTCTGTGCATTCGCCCGGATAGCGAAGGGTGCAGGTTCGAGTCTCGTCTGCTGCGTGTCCGCGTTGAATTATTTCTAGTAAAATTTTATTTAAACTATGTATTTTGTATAAATATGTTCATTGCTCACTACGTAACTAACGCATGAAAGGTTCGCTATTCGATATAAAATTAAAGTGATTGAAATGGATAAATCGACATAAATACCTTAACGGTGAGGTGCACGGGCAGCCTGGGTTGGGAGACTGGCACGGCGACGCGTGAGCTGGTGCTCAAGTCCAGAGCCACGCGCTTCGCTGACGGGCCGCCCTCCTCCTAAATTGATATGCGAAATAGAGATGGGCCGAATGTGGTTAGAACCGAATCCGAATTTCGGCCGAACATTCGGTTAAAATGAAAAGTTCATACAACGTTTTTCAACACATTTGCGAGAAAATAGTACCTATACCTAATTAAAGTAATTAAGCAAACTTATTTTAATAAGAAAATGGTGCGAATATCCAAATGGCGCCACGTGCGGGTAGTGAAAATTGGAACTACATCTGTCGCCCCTTTTTCTTTTTAGTATTACAGTGAAACAAAACAATGGTAAAGATTAAAAGCGTATCCAAGGAGGTTCGACCGAAATATAAAAAATCCGTATAGTTTACGCACAGCGCCATATAAAAGAAACGCTCTAAAACGTTTTTCGGCACGCTCCGTTGTATAGCCCGTAATTATGAACTTACGAACAATGAATAAAACCTCCGTAAATTATTGATAATATATCAAAGTAATTACTTCGCAATATGTATTTATAAGGATCTAAAGGTAGTTTGGAATGTTGGTGTATTAATGCATACAAGATGAACAATTTACGTACTGATAAAACTTCGCAGAATGAGTATAAGACATCGGTAGGAAACAGAAACGGCTTGAATGTAGCTACTTTTAGAACTGCGCGTTGGGCACGCTTCAGTGGAAATATAGTTGTCTTAGGAACGCCACCCAAGGATGTAATGCAATACAGAATCAAGGATTGGCAAAGAGAGAAGTAAATGAATTTGAGGAGTGATGAATCAGTTACTGACGTAAGTGACTTGAAAATATATATTTGCGAATTCTTGCAGCAAGGACATTGATATGGAGTTTAAAAGATAAATTGCTGTCCAGCAACACCAAGATATTTAACTTCATTAACTCGCTCGATGGACGAACAACAGCAAGAGTTTGTACCCCGACAGGTGCAGTAATTGATAGACTCTTCACTTGGCAGATCAACTGTTCTTATAGAGTGTGTGATATATTTGGTCTTCTATACATTAAGTGTGAGACGGTTATTGTTTAGCCATTCGCAAACCACATCAAATCCAGATTGTGCATTTAGAAAAACATCACGCCAAGAATCACTAGAAAAGAAGAGAACATTGTCATCCGCAAAGGAAAGAATTTGGGATATTTATATAATTAAACAGTGTAGGACCAAGAATGCCTCCTTGCGGTACTCCGTATTCAATTTGGAACTCACAACTTTTCTGTCCTTCATTCACGACCGCCTGTTTACGATTTGCGAATAATCTTGAAAAAGGCTAAGTTGATTGACACGTATACCAAGTGCTTCCATTTTGCGCAATAATATAGATATTGGAACGGAATCAAACGCTTTAGCCACATCGAGGAATTATTGTAAGTCATTTCTTACCACTATCCAGGTTTTCAATTATTTTGGAATTAAGTTCAAGAACAGCTTGAGAAGTAGATCGTCCTACTCGGAAACCATATTGGTTCTTACTAAGAATATTTTTATTTGCCAGAAATTTCATAAGACGGTTATTTAAGATGCGCTCAAATATCTTAGACAAAGTCCGAAGAACAGATATAGGTCGGTAGTTTTCGACTCTTGTGCGACCCCCGACTCCTTTAAATATTGGATGTACTAGAGCACTTTTGAATACTCTTGGGGAAATCCCCTGTGAGATGGAAAATTTAAATATATGAGCTTATAAGGGAACTAGAATATTACTGTTTTAAATGCTACGAGACGAAATTCCGTCCCAATCTGTCAGTCTTCAAGCCACCTATGATTTGACTTATTTCCTCTTCTTCTATTATTATATTATTTTATTTAGGGTCGATTACGACAAATGAGTCGGTTGACAGGGGAAAAGATTGTAATGAAGTTGCATTTCTAGGGTTGGTAATGTTTGTATTCGGATGCTAGGGCTGCAAGTGGCGCTAGATAAAACGGAAGCCATATTCTTTCACGGTCCACGGAGGAGGCCTCCAGCGGGTTCATCTGTGATGATAGATAGGAAGGGAATCAAACTGAGTCCTTACTTAAAATACTTGGGTCTGGTATTGGATGCTCGGTGGAAATTCACCGAGCACTTTAAACGCCTAACACCGAGGCTCACAAAAGTGGCAGCGGCCCTGGCCCGTATTATGCCAAATGTGGGGGGCCCTAGCGCGTCCTGCAGACGACTTTTTGCAGGCGTCGTCAGGTGCATGGCGATGTACGGGGCCCCAATTTGGAATGAGGCCCTGAACCGTGAAACCAGGGCCTTACTGAGGAGGCCACAAAGGGCCATGGCTACGCGGGCCATTAGAGGATACCGCACTGTTTCCGGAGCGGCAGCCTGTGCACTGGCGGGGACACCACCCTGGGAGCTCGAGGCTGACTTTCTGGCCGAGAGCTACCGGTACAGGGTGGAAGCGCGAGGAAGGGGAGAACGCCCATCTCCGGAGGAAATGAGGAGGGTCCGGCTTGTGGCGTACGAGAGGGTGTTAGAGAGGTGGAAAGGTCTCGGCAGCGCAGCACCCTCACCGCGGTCATAGGACTGGACCTCTCGTTGACGAGCGTGATCTCAGCCATGCTTGCCAACGACAGGTCCTGGAAGGCGGTATCCTCCTTTTGCGAAGAGGTGATGTCGAAAAAGGAGGCAGCGGAGCGGGCCCGCGAACAAGACCCTCAGGCAGACCCAATCCGACGCAGACGAATGGGACGAAGGATGCGGGAATACATCCGCAGTCTTCCACCCTGAGTCGGGGCTAGCGGGCGTGGGTAGGGCAACCCGCGCCTGCATTGCACGGCACCGCAGTCTGGGGGCGATTCCTACCATGTGCCTGGGAATCCCCCCGATCGTGAGGTGGCCTGGTTAAAAGCCGGGCCGGCCGGCGGCGGCGTGGTTGATTCCCAATAAGGATCCCATGCCGCCACCTAAGGCAAGCAGAGCACATCCCGGAGTTTTAGTGGGTAGGACCCCCCCATCCCGAGCAGTCACTGAGCCAGCCCTAGGGTTGGCTGAGTGGGTGGGCGGGAGGTGGGGGGAGGAGTCTCACATAACCCCATCGCCTACCCAGCGGCGGGGGTATGCGTAAGGCATTTCTCCGGGTCAAAAAAAAAAAGGTTTGGTAATGTTAAATTTAGTAGCAAAATTTGTTCCTACATTTACGAAGTATTTATTGGTTTCATCAAGAGCCAGTTGAGGAGAGCTGCCTGATAACAGGACACCTGACGAGAGACAATTATTTTTTTGGGCAAGATTCATCTCTTATAACCTCGCAATCCCATAAAAAAAGTTGCGATATCGGGTGTAAGTTAATTTGAGGGTTTCATTTTCAGGAGATATTTTACAGTTCTTGTGTAGGCGATCCCTATTTCTAATACATCTTAATAGACCAAGCGTGATCCAGGCCTTTATAGGTTTTTTACGTTTAGGTAACAACTTGGTGGTATTTAAACACGTAGAGCATCAGTTAAGGTCTCAGCAGCTAAAAGTAGTCTATTGGACTTAGACTAAGTGTTGACTTTATATTTTATGGTATAAATTTATTTTAACAAGAGTTTCACTATAAGTACCGGTAGCCTCGAATGGTGGTCAGGCGATATAAGAAGGGTAGCAGGACCCCACAGACTTAGAGCGGTTGGAGACACATCTGAGTGGAGAAAGCTGGAGGAGATCTATGTGTCAGCAGGACACATTGTTGTGGTTAACGATGTCTTAACTATATATAGTGTTACACTGCTAACTTAATGAGATACAAGAGCAGCAGGTCCTCACCTCGGTATTGGGGCGTTTGCGGGCGGCGGCGGCGCTGACAGGAGTCTCAGGAGTTGCTTCGTGCGCGGGAGGCGGCGCCGGGGCATCGGGCGCGGGGCAGATGCGCTGAGCTAGACCAAAGTCCACCAGCAGGTACCTGCGCAACCATCGCTATATACTGATAGAGTCGGGCGCGGGGCAGATGCGCTGAGCTAGACCAAAGTCCACCAGCAGGTACCTGCGCAACCATCGCTATATACTGATAGAGTCGGGCGCGGGGCAGATGCGCTGAGCTAGACCAAAGTCCACCAGCAGGTACCTGCGCAACCATCGCTATATACTGATAGAGTCGGGCGCGGGGCAGATGCGCTGAGCTAGACCAAAGTCCACCAGCAGGTACCTGCGCAACCATCGCTATATATACCGATAGCTGCTATGGAATTCCACTGACTGTAACTATCTAACATTCAATTCAACCTCCAAAACCTCCAAGAGGCAATCACTGATGTTAAGACCTCACGCAAAACATGCACCATATGGACGTCGAGTTGCATAAACACCCTTAGAAGACAAAGAAGGCATTCAATTTTGAACACATAAAAAAGATCCAGATAGGGACAGAATCTAAGACACCACTGCTTTAAATAGTATACAACTCTCTTTTTTCAACTACAATCATTTGAAAATCTAATATTGAAATGCAGATTTCATGCTAACACTTCACACGGTTATTACGGCAGCGCGGCACCTGAATTTAGAGATGGGGAGGGCGAAACAGGCGCCCCAAGTCAATTGTTTATTTTTATCTGTTGTGGAGGCCCATAGACATAGGTCCCGTTGGCCTGTCTTAAATCCGGTTCCGACTACAGTATATACTTGTCATGCTCTGTGGGAATGAAAGAGACTTCTAATCCTCACAATAGCAAATACAAATAGCCATGTGGAACACCAGCTTAATATGTCTATCATCTATAATTTAAAGTAAAAATCTACCATCTTTATGCTTTAGATATGTATATAACAACTGAAACATTATCTTTTCTTGTTATAAATAAAATAAGCCTTTATTCACACTGACTTAAATTATTCATATGATTGTCCTTTGATAAAGGCCTCCCCTAGTTTCCCAATGCTTTCTATCCATGGCCTTTCTGCTGCATGCCACCTGCAGCTAGGGACACAAAAAAAGTATCGATACTTTGTGGTATCAAGTACTTTTCCTTTCGATACCGATACTTTTGTACTCGATACTTTGTATTCGATACTTTTACTTATTGAGTACTTTTTGGCAAGTAAGTATCGATACTTTTAAAATTTGGACAAGCGCCTCATATTGTTATGATATATTCAAATTCTTTCCAATCTGTGACTGTGTTTATTTTGCGCTTTGTTTTGTTTCATAGTTATTTATTTAGCGACCATATTGTTAGGAATTGTGATTGATGATTCGCCGTTTATTGTGTTTTTCGCTTGACTGCATTTGATGTATTCAAGTGTAACACTATTATTCTGTCTGTGCTGTGTATACCTATTTGAAACCACGGACCTGAAAAAAAGACGGACGTAACCTCTTCTATGAGTGAAGCATGCCAATGGCCGCCGTTAACTGCGTGTCAGATTCAAGTAACATTTTAATTATTAATGTGATATTAATGAACACTTTTTAAGTGTCAGAAATCACAGCTATTTTCTTTTCATTATATAATATAGCAATAGGCTAGTTGACTCATATCGAATTGTATTAAATAAATTTTTATTTCTTAAAGTATTTGGTCTAGGGAACCTAAATATATCGATTTCACTTCATAAAAGCAGAAGATTGCTGTAGAAATTTAATTTGAAAAAATAATTTTTAGTCTATACTTTTTAAACACTAAAAACGCTGTTCACCACATCCGCCATGATTGTGACGTCTCTTTTAGTAAACAACTAAATGTCATTCATACATAACTTTAAAACTTGTATTATTAAAACTGATAATAAATGAAGAGACTTAAAATATTATTCAATGAATACTTACATCAAAGTGATCTTCGCAAAAATAAATTTTACTATGAGTCGATAAAGTTGCAGGATCACTTTTAGCAAGTTCTAACCAGGTATTGCGTAGGTTAATTTCTTTCGGCACTTTAATCCACAACTTTCCTGGAGTCTTCAAGGTTTTTTTTTACATTCTCGTACATTACAATAATGATAATTACTATATTTTTCGTGGTATCTATTAGAAATCATGTTTTTTTTTATTATAAACTCAGATGGGTTATTTTCTACGTGCTTACGAGTTTTTGTTTACTACCGTCGACGTCATAGCATAGATAATCTATAGACTAAAATGGCCGACAGCGTTTTTGTATGTCCATGAAAAGTCTATTTTAAAATTGAAGATTTGTAGCTTTCTAGGTCTCAAAAAAATACAATACATTTTTTTTCGGTCTAATAGAACATTTATTAACCATTTAAAACCTTTTTCCAAAAAGGGTCAACTAGCCTATTTGTGAATTTATATGTCCTTTTACTGTTATTATACGTACTATAATAAAATTGGATTGTTTTTCTTTCAATTTTTAACCCGGGGGGGCGGGGGGTTGCTCATCGGGCCACAGAGGATCCGATAAGGCCCTATGAAATGTACTCGATACTTTGAAGTATCGATACTTTTGTTTCGATACTTTTACGAGTACGATACTTTTTTACCGATACTACTCATGAGTACAGTATCGATACTTTCTATTCAATATCGTGTCCCTACCTGCAGCCACTTTTAATTCATCCTCCCATCTCTGTCTTCCTCGCCTCCTTTTTTCTTTCTTTTCTTGCCATAATGTGAGATAAATACAAAAAATATTTTATGCACGAAACTGCTGAATTACTAATTTAAAGAAAAGCTTACTAGTAAAATCCCACATATTTGACCGGATTTTCAATTTTAGAGGACTTTTGTCAACAATTGAGAAAAAATTGATTGAGACACCACTGTAAATATACATAACTGAAATAAACACATGAACTATACAGAAAATTACATTAGTTGAATTCTAGGATTTCAAAGGTACCTCTTGTTTTCTCTGTCATACAAGAAGTTACTGGGCTTGACATCACGGTGAATGACCCCAAAAGAGTGCACATGCTTCAGGGCAGTCATCAGAGCTCGCATGTACCTCTGAAGCTCAGCTGCATCCATGTCCACTATGTACTCCTGCAATACTCAATTAATGTAAAGAATTTCTGAATAATTCATTATAAATTGCAATAAAATATTTTTGGTTAGCAACACTGCCCTTAACACAAATCATTTTGCAAAACTGCAAGATGCTAAATCATTCTTCGGACTAGCATATTAGTCATTAGTATCGATTCTGGAAACTGTGTTTAGATTCTGGAAATTTAGTTTTAACTACTAAAACTAAATTTTACATCAGTCTATCCTTTTCATTCTGTATAGAGAACGACAAGGATACACTGTTGTCAAATTTAAGTTTAGGTTTAGAGAATTATGTTAGGATGAACACCATTAGTCATTTATTCCGTGAAAAATATTAATTTGTGTTGGAAAATGCGAAAGATTGTCTAGATGTAAGAAAATTACAATGGCAGAGTTTTAATACGGCTTAAATCATAAGATTTTATCTGAAGTACATCCTACTCACAGAAAATTTTCTATGAGGTATATAAGGCATCACAAAGACAATCGTATCCAAATGTCGTAAACACAATTCAACACCAATCACATGATTTCTCCCTCTGAAACAAAATAAAAATATTGCAAAATCTTCACAAAAAAAAGCATCTTTTAGCTATCCAAAAAGTTTACTTAAAGATTGCTAATAAGCAAGCATTTTTTAGACATCTATAAAAAATCTCATACCCCATATCTTGAAGACAACGTAATTCATGTTCTATCCTAGCTGGATGTGCAGTTGGAACTAAGTGCTTAATGGCAAACCATTTTTTCTCAGAAATGGAGAGTTTTGAATGTTGTCTCAGAGATCCCAAGTACACAGAGCTAAAAGTACCCTCTCCAATCTTTTTGTGAACTTCAAAGATCTTATCTAATTTTGGTAATTTTTGAAGTAATTCAACTATTTGCCTTCCTGGAAAAGAGTAATACATTACGTGTGTATTCAATAAAAAATAAATATAATTGTTTAATAAATAACATTTTGATGTTATTATGGTAGAGAATATGGTCCTGTAAATAAATGTTTATAAAGGTACCAAATGACTATTTATCTATGAATTAATGCTACAGAAGTATCATATTCATCAGTTACTTACTCTCTGCATCATCTTTACATTTTGTGTGATCATCAATTCTCTTCTGGACTTCATTACGTACTAAAGCTGTTCCCTTTGGAATTCTAGTTTCTATCCCTCTGATTCTAGACATTCTTTATTTCATAATTATCACAACTATCACAGCAACTAAATATAATTATTTCTACATATCCATCCTAGCTAGACACAAAAATACAAAAACTTCACTCGCCCCTCCAGCCCTCCAGTCGTCACAGAGACCACAGAGGACCTCACAGGAGTACCTTATTATATCCGTCAAATATTAAAAATACTACTCTTTGCGTCAAACCGTCTTTACTCAGTCTCAAATAGAGAATATATTGTTCTGTGGTCTCAAAGGAATCAAACCGTAACTGACTGAAGAAGTACGAAACTGGAAACAGAGTGATTACTATTTCCATAAACTATATGCGAGACAGCGCTATACACGTAAAAGAGATAGACAAACTTATGATCTCTTTTGCGTGTATGGGTGCGGCCAGAGTGCACTCAGATTCAGAGTCAGATTCAGATTCTGAAAACAAGCGCGAGAATAAACAGTGGTGCCAATTCTGGCGTGATTCTCTAAACTTAAAACTAAATTTAACATCAGTCTCTCCTTTTCATTATGTATAGAGAATGACAAGGATATACTGCTGTCAAATTTAAGTTTAGGTTTAGAGAATCATGCTAGAATCGACACCAGTGTAGTCGAAGGGTACGGCCAGATTGCACTCCTGCCCCTCTAGCATGACCACCGAAACGGGATATGATAAAGCGATATATCGACATTAACTGTCAGCCTACTGTCAAACTCCATAGTAGTCTGACAGTTAATGTCGATATATCGCTTTATCATATCCCGTTTCGGTGGTCATGCTAGAGGGGCTGATTCAGATTCAGAAACAAAGCGCGAGAAAAAGCAAGCAACCTGCTTAGACTACACTGTTTATTTCTCGCGCTTGTTTTCGAAATCTGAATCTGAGTCTGAATCTGAGTGCACTCTAGCCGCACCCTATGGTGCTGACCTGCATTGCTAGATACAGCAAGATGGATAGCGCGTAGAGGACTTAAGTATTAGATTCGCTATCGAGTCCCTTCTGTGATCTCTGATAAAACTGTGTTTGGTTCGTAGGATCAACGCAGAACGCCGGATCCACATCAACTGGATCAAATGAGTGATCAATCAATTCAAATCAAATTAGAAGCACTCTTTAGACGTAATCTTATTATCTATGAAAAGCACTAAAAGGTATTAAAGCTGCGTTCGTTATTTGCGTCTGATCAATCTTATTAGTCTGAACAGTTCGTTTATTATCTACATCTACCCCCTTCATAATAAACAAGGAATAAGCTTAGATATGTTTTGTTCATATCACTCAAATTCCATTTATCATTCAATAGACACAGACAGAAACAAAACATGGAGTAACTAATCCATGCGTAGTCTTCGTTTATTAATAAGAGGATTAAGGGGGCTAGACTAGACGCTAGAGTAAATCCAAGGAACTTCTATTCAAAAAAGTTCCTTGAGTAAATCGAATCGTTCGGTAATTCCGCTTAGGTAACTCCGATGTACATCAATCTGTTTGTTCGGAGTTTTTTGACTCTTTTAGCTATCCAAAAAGTTTACTTAAAGATTGCTAATAAGCAAGCATTTTTTAGACATCTATAAAAAATCTCATACCCCATATCTTGAAGACAACGTAATTCATGTTCTATCCTAGCTGGATGTGCAGTTGGAACTAAGTGCTTAATGGCAAACCATTTTTTCTCAGAAATGGAGAGTTTTGAATGTTGTCTCAGAGATCCCAAGTACACAGAGCTAAAAGTACCCTCTCCAATCTTTTTGTGAACTTCAAAGATCTTATCTAATTTTGGTAATTTTTGAAGTAATTCAACTATTTGCCTTCCTGGAAAAGAGTAATACATTACGTGTGTATTCAATAAAAAATAAATATAATTGTTTAATAAATAACATTTTGATGTTATTATGGTAGAGAATATGGTCCTGTAAATAAATGTTTATAAAGGTACCAAATGACTATTTATCTATGAATTAATGCTACAGAAGTATCATATTCATCAGTTACTTACTCTCTGCATCATCTTTACATTTTGTGTGATCATCAATTCTCTTCTGGACTTCATTACGTACTAAAGCTGTTCCCTTTGGAATTCTAGTTTCTATCCCTCTGATTCTAGACATTCTTTATTTCATAATTATCACAACTATCACAGCAACTAAATATAATTATTTCTACATATCCATCCTAGCTAGACACAAAAATACAAAAACTTCACTCGCCCCTCCAGCCCTCCAGTCGTCACAGAGACCACAGAGGACCTCACAGGAGTACCTTATTATATCCGTCAAATATTAAAAATACTACTCTTTGCGTCAAACCGTCTTTACTCAGTCTCAAATAGAGAATATATTGTTCTGTGGTCTCAAAGGAATCAAACCGTAACTGACTGAAGAAGTACGAAACTGGAAACAGAGTGATTACTATTTCCATAAACTATATGCGAGACAGCGCTATACACGTAAAAGAGATAGACAAACTTATGATCTCTTTTGCGTGTATGGGTGCGGCCAGAGTGCACTCAGATTCAGAGTCAGATTCAGATTCTGAAAACAAGCGCGAGAATAAACAGTGGTGCCAATTCTGGCGTGATTCTCTAAACTTAAAACTAAATTTAACATCAGTCTCTCCTTTTCATTATGTATAGAGAATGACAAGGATATACTGCTGTCAAATTTAAGTTTAGGTTTAGAGAATCATGCTAGAATCGACACCAGTGTAGTCGAAGGGTACGGCCAGATTGCACTCCTGCCCCTCTAGCATGACCACCGAAACGGGATATGATAAAGCGATATATCGACATTAACTGTCAGCCTACTGTCAAACTCCATAGTAGTCTGACAGTTAATGTCGATATATCGCTTTATCATATCCCGTTTCGGTGGTCATGCTAGAGGGGCTGATTCAGATTCAGAAACAAAGCGCGAGAAAAAGCAAGCAACCTGCTTAGACTACACTGTTTATTTCTCGCGCTTGTTTTCGAAATCTGAATCTGAGTCTGAATCTGAGTGCACTCTAGCCGCACCCTATGGTGCTGACCTGCATTGCTAGATACAGCAAGATGGATAGCGCGTAGAGGACTTAAGTATTAGATTCGCTATCGAGTCCCTTCTGTGATCTCTGATAAAACTGTGTTTGGTTCGTAGGATCAACGCAGAACGCCGGATCCACATCAACTGGATCAAATGAGTGATCAATCAATTCAAATCAAATTAGAAGCACTCTTTAGACGTAATCTTATTATCTATGAAAAGCACTAAAAGGTATTAAAGCTGCGTTCGTTATTTGCGTCTGATCAATCTTATTAGTCTGAACAGTTCGTTTATTATCTACATCTACCCCCTTCATAATAAACAAGGAATAAGCTTAGATATGTTTTGTTCATATCACTCAAATTCCATTTATCATTCAATAGACACAGACAGAAACAAAACATGGAGTAACTAATCCATGCGTAGTCTTCGTTTATTAATAAGAGGATTAAGGGGGCTAGACTAGACGCTAGAGTAAATCCAAGGAACTTCTATTCAAAAAAGTTCCTTGAGTAAATCGAATCGTTCGGTAATTCCGCTTAGGTAACTCCGATGTACATCAATCTGTTTGTTCGGAGTTTTTTGACAGACCTACCCACGACAAAGATGGATATGGTTATCTGTCGTGTAGATTAGTTTTTGTTTGAGGTTAGAAATTAATCTATAGTGTTTGTTGTTTTCGAACTAAAAGCAAACTATTTAGCTAAGAATATTTGATTTTGAATAATGCTCTTTAGAAAGCTAACCGTAGTATTATCTACAGGATGTGGTCGTGTAAGTTAAATAAAATGTTTACCATAGAGAAATAATAATACTGTGATGGCTCCTTCAGGATTTAAACAATCCCCAGCATATGAGCCCTCAACAGACAATCCTAGACTAGTTATTTTGGGCACATATTCCGTTTTCAGAGTTGACTTTAGTTTAACCTATGTGCTTTTCTAACTACAGGCACACTATGTTACTAAGGGACCAAAACCAGAAATACCCAAAAACCCTTTGAAAAATGTATACTCTGCTTCGGACCAGAAAGAGAATGGAATTGTGTATGATAAGAAGCCGTTCAAGCTAACCTTGGAAGAAGGCAGGACTTATAGCTGGTGTCTCTGTGGTCGATCAAAGTCACAGCCTCTTTGTGATGGCACACATAGGGATATTTTCCTAAAGATAACACAAAGGTTTGTTGCCTCATCAACACATGGCGATAGGAGAAAGATTAATGTACATAGAGTTGTTTGTTGATTTAATAAATATTCATTTTTTATAAATATCATATTTTATTTTACAGGCCTATCAGATTTACAGTGGACAAAACAAAAGAGTATTGGTTGTGCAATTGTAAGCAGACTAAAAATAGACCATTCTGTGATGGGACACATAAACAAAAAGAAATTCAAGAAGCGCATGTTAAAGTCTAGTAGAAATATTTAGTATTTTGCTGGCAAAAATACTACTTACTACCTATATTGTAGAATTTATTTAGATATGCAATTGTATATAAGTCAGAAATCTAAGTAGTTTAAGACTGCAATAAAGTGTTGGGGTTTCCTATATTTTGTTTCATACAGTCATAATTAAAAGAGTCTAATTAACATAACAAACACTAAGCCTTTCTTTGTCAATAATATTCGAACCAAAATTAATAAAACTTATGATAAAACTACTCTCATAATACTATTGACAAACAGAAATGTCAGAACCTGCTGAGCAATAGTGACTTCAATATAATGTACTAGTGGCCTGCTCTTGCTTCGCTTATGTGTAGAGCTGTAATGTAGACTACAGTTTTTGTTCTCAGGCTTGTATTATACACCATGAATTTCTTTATATAATTATAAATCATAATTGAAAATTCATTTAACTGATAATAAAAATTTTGCATAGTTGAGGACCCATTCTACCAAATGCACCATTTTTTGGTTGAAAGCGCAAATCTCAGGAACGAATGCTACGATTTGAAAACATCTTTTTGTGTTAAATGGTGCATTTATTGAGGAAGGCTTAAGGCTATAAATTATTACTATGCGACCAGAAAGAGTGGAGTGGGAGTATCAATGGAAAAATATTCCATTTGAGAGATTCCATTGCGTGTGCTGCGTAAATTATTAAAATTACACAAAAACCATGTATGGCAGAGTTGGTTCCCTTTATAAAAAGTGCTTTAAAAAAAACTGCGACAGTATATGCCCATCTTTTAAGTTTGATTACTTTAACCTTTTTCCTTTAGTTGTGACAACTGTAATAGTTAGACATTATATTGCAGACTTTTTTTGTAGATATTTATGTCCTCTATAAAACTTTTGTACATCACTTTGCTCTATTGTCAATAACTTCCGCAGCGTAAGCGATATTAGGTTATTTTTAGGGTTCAGTAGTTCTGTCAAGGACCCTTATAATTTCATATCCGTCTGTCCGTCCCGGTTTTGCTTGGAGACTATTAGCATTAGAGAGCAGTAATTTTTTGGAGATATATATGTATATCGATTACGCCGACATAATAGTAGAATTAAATTTTGATAAATATTTTTTAGGGTAGCTCCCCTACATGTAACCTAGGAATGATTATTTTTTTCATCATCTTTTTCGATTTAGGGATCCGTATGCGAAAGGATCCCTAAATCGAAAAATAATGAAGAAAAAAATAATCATGAACTTTAAAGTGCTAAATTTTGTTCAAGTAGGTCGTCCCCTCCCCTCTTGAAGCTAAACTATGTTAAGATAGATTTGTTAGTCGTTCAACTCGATGACGACGTGGTTAGTACGCCGGTTTTCATGGGGTCGCCGACTCGAGAGGTCCCGGGTTCGAATCCCGGTGGGGGCAGATGTTTGTGTGATGAATACGAGTATTTGTACTCCAGTTATGGATGTTTAATATGTATTTCTATATAAATATTATACTTATATATGTACAGTTTACATATTCTATCCGTTTCCCTAGTATCCCATAACACAAGCCTTACAGTGCTTACTTTGTGTGTGAGTGTTAAAAATATTTATTTATTTATTTTATTTAACTTTGGTTCTAGAAAATTTCTTACCTATTGAAAATTCCTTAGAAGAAAACATTAATAGTGACATAGTTGAAGTTATTGTAGCGTGTAAAGCCTTGCATTGCATTACAAACTATTTAAAACCACAATAAAATATGATTAGTTCACCAACGCTACCGCGAGTACCAACGGCAACGGTTTCTGAGTCGCGCCAATGTTACGTTTTATAAAAAAATGGTTGCCTGTAAAGTCGGTTTTACGGGCGAAGATTTTACGTGACAACGTCTTTTTCTCGGTAGAATATTTATTGATATGAATATAATTAAATTGCACAATAGGAACAAGGAATTGAATGAAAATAAGAATTCCACAAATTTTAACTATAGAAATATATTTTGTTTACTAAAACATTGTACATGTAAACTTAAACTTAACACGAGAGACTCATCGTAACGTTACCGAGCGTTACACTTTTTCATAAGTGACTCCCAGCCGCAACCTAATTTAAGACGTTGTCACGTCAAAAAGTAAATAAGTAATTGAAAAGATCGGCGGTTATACCGCATCATCCCTTATCAGGGGATGTTCGCCTTAGATAAATCTTGTAAGGCCAGTCAGTAAGAGTTTGTAAAGATAAAATCGGCGGTTATCATTCATATTTAAAATAATAATAATATTTTAATTGAGATACATAGATTGACATAAATTAGATTTTCTAATTTCCGGATATAGAAAATAAAAGACTCCTGTTCAAATATATTGTGGTAACTACAGGCAACTACGGAACCCTACACGACACGCACTTGGCCGTTTTTTTTGTATTATTTTTTTACACCCTGGGTTACTTTTCTCCCTCGAATTTTCCATAAGGAACCCTTACTTTTTTGAAAATACTCCATAGCCTATGTCCATCAGGGATAATGTAGGATTCTGAATGTGTAAGAAATTTTCAAATCGGTCCAGTAGTGTTTAAGCAGCAACCACTGGAATTATGCGTTTTAATACACTATATTAAAACTAGAACCAATCTTCAAATAATTACAAATAAATTGAAAGTTATTCGTTCTTCCTAGAATAATTTTCTAAAATTAAATGGAGAGAGCAGTAACCTTTTTAATCTCAAATAAAAAGTGTTATATTTTTTATTTGGTCTGAGTTTTTAATCTATTGATAAATTTTTGAAATGAAACTTCTTTACGCACGCCGGATTTGGGGGGTAGACTGGCGAATGCGTTACGCGTTACGAAAAGTGTGTTCGGGCGAAGCGAACGGGAGTTTCGATCGGCAGAGTTGGCCCAATCTCTTGGCCTGCTCAGTTACCCGACCTTACTCCAATGGACTTTTTCGTGTGGGGTCAGGCCAAGGAACTAGTTTACAATCATGTGGAGATAAACACAAAAGAACAATTAATAGAAAAAATAAATGCAGCATTTAAAACGATGAAACAGGAGATGATGTTGAAAATAATTTGACATCAGTCTTTCCTTTTCATTCTGTATAGAGAATGACAAGGATACACTTGTCATATTTAAGTTTAGATTTAGAGAATCGTGCCAGAATCGACACCATCACTTAAATAAAAAAAAATCGCAAATATGACTGATATTTGTAAATACATATAGGAGGAGCTTACCTGGGTTCGTATAAACATTTGCGAATTCGTGCAGTGTACGTATGTTTGCACACAAGTAAGTGATCGACCGGCATATGACTATTATCCAAGCTATCGATAGTATGCATAATTTTGAATATTGAATTTAAATCCGTGGACAAGATTATGCATGCTGCAACCCTAGTTTTATTATATCTGTGATACTTACTGACGGTTGACGTTAACGCGCGTGCGTGACTTTTAAGAGGACTGTTTTCAATGGTGTCAATTCCGGCATGACTATCTAAATCTAAACTTAAATTTGACAAAAGTGTATCCTTGTCATTCTCTATACAGAATGAAAACGAGAGACTGATGTTAAATTTAGTTTTAAGTTTAGAGATTCACGCCAGAATCGACACCATTGATTGATGATTGGCAGTAGATCTAATCTGTGCTTTAAAAGTGACAGCCGCAGCCAGCACAGCAGTATGTGTAGCTTGCACAGAGTTCATTTAAAAATTAGTTTGTGGCAGCACAGCAGTGCACAGCCGCGGCCGACGAACAGAGGCAGCCTATTTTTTGAATAAGTACCCTACCATTCAAGCACAAGCAATTTTTTTTTTATATTATCGCCCAATGTTTTATTGACACTTGTTGCGATAAGAAGAATAAAAAGGTCAATCATTCAATGTTGCTCAGTTTGTGACTTTATACTTGCGTTGCGTTAGTTCCTCCCCTCGTGCAGACAGAACAGACAGTTCAACTCTGACCTCAGTTGTACACGGGCGCGAACGAGGAATCCGGAAAATGGAAGACGAAGTAAAACTGTTCACCCGAGAAGAGCTGAAGTCACGGAACAAGCGCAATGATGCCGTCCTCATCATCCACAATGCGGTGTACGATGTTACAAAATTCTTAGAAGAGGTAAGAATCTTTTAAATTCAGCAACATTTTGTATATTACAGGTTACAAGTGACCTCCGAGTGTAATATTGTAAATTGCAGTTAAATATCCAAGTATTCATTAATGTGCTGCAAGAGATTAGAGCTATTTAATATTAAATGATATGTTGTAGTGTACCCTTTTTAACTATTTCAGTGCTGTTGATGGTAATACAAATTGAAATGGTTGCATTTTAACTTCAGTTTTTTTCACATCTGAACTCCACACTTTTATTTATTACATACACATTCAAGAAGATTACAGAAGGTACATAATAGTGTAGCTGATCAAAATTAAATTTGTCCAGAGGTACACCCTTCGTCTCATCAAGTTTGTCTTTTTTTAGTTTTTATTTCACAATTAGACTAAAACAGTGTTTTAATATCTTAGTGTTTGAAACTGCTCATGTTTTTTTTATTGCAATAGAATCAATCAAGCATTTATTGTCTAGTCATCAAATAAATACAAAGTGTTTGATAAAGAACAGGACAAGGAAATTAATTCATTGAAATAATAGAGTGCCCACTTAGGGAAATATACCATGTAATATAATTATTAGTGTTTATTCATAAATCAATCAAGCTGTCAATGCCTGCTACTGTTTCACTATTTAGCTCATAGCTTACCTCATTCACAGTTAACATCTAGTAGAATCCTAGAATCCTAATAAGTACTATTACTAGTAGGAGCTTGATGGCGCAAGTGGCTAGCCCGTCTGGCTGCAATCGTTTAAGCAACTTTCGTAATGGTCGTTCATTGGATGGGTGACCAAAAATCTTCTATCTCGAGTTCCTGCGTGCTTCGGAAGGTATGTTAAGCCTTTGGTCCCGGCTGCATCTTGAGTCTTTATGCCCGCCAATCTGCACTGGGCCTGCAGGTTGGGTCATGGCCCAATCTCCCTATTCCATCTATAGGGAAGGCCTGTGCCCCAGCAGCGGGGACATTAATTGGCTGATCATGATGATGAGAATCCTAATTTGCTACAGAATGAATGTAGTTAATTAAAGCAAACAAACTAGTACTGTATTTGTTAATGTGTTTAATCATTATTGGATTCCAATGTGTGTCAACAACTGGCTCCTAATTAAATAAATTATGTTAAACAATCACACAGGCTTCAGCTAATTATAGGTAGATAGGTGTCATGTTGTTGGTGGTTGATAGTTACAAGCTACCTATTGGTGTCAATTCTGACACAATTCTCTTAACCTAAACTTAAATTTGACAACAGTGTATCCTTTTTATTCTCTCTATACTGAATGAAAAGAAGCGACTGATTTTCGACACTGTTGTATTGCTTAATAGAATAGTATTTATAATATCACTTAGCTCATTCATTTATTTATTGCATGTCACAACATTCATGATGGTACATTAATTTATGTAAAGTAAATATGTGACGCCCTGCAAGGGCATAGCAAATATCAAGCCAGAGGGCTTGTTATATAATTATATTATATTACTTAGTTCACATTTCATTTTTACACAACAATTATATTTTATATTTAATTTTTACACAACAAACAATTCAATTTTTTAAACTAGATTTAAAAATGTCAATAAGCAATAATAATAATGAAGGAGTCAACTTTAAAAATTAATTACATTTGTCATCAAAAGATTCTTTTAAATTATAAAAACATTTTTGGATATAATATGATTTTAATTGATTGTTGAATTTGGCAGATATTTCTATGTTTGTTATATAATTAGGTACATTATTATAGATTTTTATTGTCGTAGCATGAGGACTATCCGATACCAATGTTAATTTTCTGTATGGCACTTCTAATTTATTTAAATACCTATTATTTCTTTTAACACTTACTATCTAATATATAAAATTCTTGTGTCGCGGTGTTTGTGGATAAACTCCTCCAAAACAGCTTTCCCGATTCTCATGAAATTTTGTGTGCATATTGGGTAGATCTGAGAATCGGACAACATCTATTTTTCATCCCCCTAAATGTTAAGGGTAATCCACACCTAAATTTTTTTTTTCAATTTTAGATTTTTTTTTTATGATACATCATACAAAAGTACATAAAACCCTAAATTTTCACCCTTCTACCACCAACCCCTATTTTAGGATGAGTATGGATACAAGGGTCAAAATTCTATGTTTAATAAAATAAGGTCTACATGATTCCATCTGATCGATGTTTGTCAACTGCTGCTTTAATATTGCCTACTTATATCAACTCTTCCCAGTATTTCTAAAAATAATTCTCACTATTTTTTTTAAATTACCATATAAGACAACCTCCGTGGCCGAGTGGTTTGTACGCCGGGTTTCATGGTGTCGCCGACTCGAGAGGTCCCGGGTTCGAATCCTGGTGGGGACAGTTGTTTGTGTGATAAATACGAGCATTTGTACCCCAGTCATGGATGTTTAATATATATTTATGTACTATATATGTATTCTATCCGTTACCCTAGTATCCCATAACACAAGCATTACAGTGCTTACTTTGCGCCTAGGCTAATTGGTGTGAGTGTTGGAAATATTTATTTATTAATAATTATTGATACCTTGAACAGGCAAGATTTTTTTTTACAGTAAAATTTTCTTTAAATTTAAATGTGTACCAGCTATAATATGCTTAAAAATTAATATACCTTAATGACTTTTTTAATTGAATAGTAAGTGTACACTATACCTACATGGACTATTAAATGTAAACTACTAATATTATAAATGTGAAAGTTTGTATGTTTGTTACTGTCGCTTGTCATGCAAAAACTTCTAAACAGATTTGGATGAAATTTGGCACGCTTATACATAGTTTATTGCCATAATTGAGATATAGGATGCTTTATATTCTGAAATAATTTTAGGTTCCTGTCAGATTCTCAAAAAAGTATCCATAACATTGGCACGAAGTCGCGTGCGGAAGCTAGTAGTGTATCTTTATATATATAATTCTTCTGTGAGTGTGTATGTCACTGAACTTCTCTTAAACGACTGGACCGATTTTGATGAATTTTTTTGTGTGTGTTCAAGGGGATCTGAGAATGGTTTAGATTCACAATTTTGTCCGCTGGACAATGTTTTTTTAATTAATTTTTAATTTATTAGTAGTTGTTGATTTTGGAATGTTTTACATTGGATCCGACAGACGGCGCTACCATACTAGACAGGACAACGTCTGTTGGGTCCGCTAGTATGTATATATATAGCATTGCCCATGCAGTTAAGTGGTTTTCAAATACTGACAGTGCTATTAGTGCATCATCGGGCGCGGTCGCCATGGGCTTGGAATTTCTCATTTCACTCAATATTAAGTCAGGGCATTGAATGAATGCATACCGAGCGCGTGCCGCCCGCCCCCGCTTCGTCTGCCATGCCCCTGGCGGGGGGCAGGCGGGTGACATTCACCACCTTTTACTCATAGGGGGAAACCACCTTCTGTAGGAATTTCGCTTTGTCTCTTCCCCAATAAAATACGATATCTCTTATCTAATAGACAAATCCGTCCGTCAGTCCGTGGTGCTGTTTCAGCGGCCAAACCGTAAGAGATAGATATAGAGAATGTTTAAGTTATAAGTTACGCATAGTCTGATAAGACTACAAACCGGATGTGAGTAACGTAGCACTTCCGGTTATCGAGAAATCACGTGATTTCTATTCCAAACGAAACCACACAAAATCTCCGAAGTTCTCAATTAATTAAATACATTTTTTTTTGTGAAAATTTGATTCACTGGTTTGCTAGTAATATAATAATATAATTTTAACCACTAAATGTATTTTATGCTTATACTCCGTCGCTCATATTAAGAATACATAATGTGAAATAGCGATGTCCAAATGTAATGCTCTCCATTTTGAACATACTGCCATAAATTAGGACAGAACATATTTGTTATTTAACAAATATAGTCACACAGTTTTAGATTAAAACAAAAAGGGAAGGTACGGAACGCTCATACTAGAATCAAAACTAAAATATGATCCGACTCAACTACATAAGCAACTCTCGCACGCACACGTCTGTAAATAAACATTCAATCGAGAGAGCGAGACAGAACTACGCTTCAACGCAGCGCGAGCGAAACGGCGAGTCCGCTTCCGAGTCCGCACAGCTGAGCCTATTGTCGTCCTTTTCTTGCAAAATGGCGATTACGTAAATAACAATAACATTGAGAAAAAAATGTTTTTACAGTTATACGAATGAAAAGTGTTGCTGAGTTATTTGATTTTGAACTATTCGTGTTCTTTATAAAAGCATCGAAGGCATTGTATTGCATCTTTATAACACAGAATATACGCAATATTGTTTTATTGAGTGCACATGCAACGTGTTTGAATGTACAATTGTGACTAAAGCGAAATATGGCACTTTCGAGTCGCGAGTGCCGTATCTTCCATTTTTGTTTTAATCTAAGGAGGCAGTATACCGTCTCATAAAATTTACTGATAGGTGTAAAGGAAAAGCACAAAATTAGGTTTGTAAGCAGTGAACACGGAGCATTATTATATTTTACTAGCTGTCCCAGCGAACTTCGTACCGCCATAAAAAAATAGGAGTTGGTGGTAGAAGGGTGAAAATTTAGGGTTGTATGTATTTTTGTATGATGTATCATAAAAAAATTAAAAAAAAATGAAGGGGGGGGGTACCCTTAACATTTAGGGGAATGAAAAATAGATTACATCCGATTCTCAGACCTACCCAATATGCACACAAAATTTCACGAAAATCGGTCGAGCCGTTTCGGAGGAGTTTAACCACAAACACCGCGACACGAGAATTTTATATATTAGATTATGCGTAAGTCCGTGGCAGCTGATTCGTCGGAGTCTGATAATCGCCTAACTTCAATCAACAATACTAGTACTATTGTTGATGGAAGTCGCCAAAGGTCATCTGCAAGTTTCTTATAATGTGTATTCTTGGTACCTACAAAGTGATGCTGTTCTGTAGATAAGAATAAATAAAAAAAAAAGAGAAATGAAGAGTCGATCAATACGCAATTCTGAATTTTAGATTGTGTTATTTAATGTATTATTTAAAAGGCATTGTTATATCTGAACACACGAATGAAAACGTGTCTCACGATATCAGGCCAGCGTTATGCATAAAAAAAGGTCGGTATCTAGGCAAAATTATCTATTGGCGCGGGTTTTTTTACTAATGCCCATGCAAAGATTATTATCTAAACTTGCAAAACGGCAGGAAGTAACTTAAGTGCCTGCACTATGCGTAGGCATGGGTAGGATTTACAAATTATTCAAGTGTGTGATGCCTCGTTGAACTTCGATCCCTGTGACGACACGTTTATTATCGTAACATTACTACGTTAGCGTTCGCTTTTAAATTAAATGTGTACATACTCATAGGGGTACCCTATATATGAAGACTACTAGAAATATGTAATATTTACTTCTCGAACCATATCCCGAAACAACTGTCTGTAATAAAAATTTGCTAGACAACAAGATTTATACATTTAACTAAATTTAAGGATCCCTTAACCAAAAAAAATATTTTACATACCTTCAATATTAATGGAAGACCTTATGACTTTAGGTGTAGTGTAGGACTAGGGTTGCCAACCCAATTATATAATAGAGTATCCTACTATATTAGGGGACCAAATATTGTTTCTAAAAAAATATATAGTATTATAGCTAAATAAATAAATATTTCCAACACTCACACCAATTAGCCTAGCCCCAAAGTAAGCACTATAAGGTTTGTGTTATGGGATACTAGGGTAACGGATAGAATACATATACTTTACATATATAAGTATATTTATATAGAAATACATATTAAACATCCATGACTGGAGTACAAATGCTCGTGTTCATCACACAAACATCTGCCCCCATCGGGATTCGAACCCGGGACCTCTCGAGTCGGCGACGCCATGAAACCCGGCGTACAAACCACTCGGCCACGGAGGTCGTCAAATCTATCTATCGTCAAGCTATTAACGGGATTGTTACCATGTACCTTGTTTTTTATGAGTCTCCGATATTTCGGCACTGTTGCAAGCGCCATGATCACGGAGTAACTCCGGCGAAAGTTTAAAACAATACTAATATAAAGTAGGCGAAACTGCTAAAAATATATACTGGCGAAAAAATACTTACTCTTTTTTGGCAGTCATGTAAAAGGACAGTTTTTTTATTAGGTATATACAATTAAGAGTCATAAATATTTGTTTTAAAATAACTGAATATGCCTTGGGTACCTACGTATATTTCTTTTGGTCATGGTTTCGTAACGCGTCCAGTGGTCAGTCATCAAAAATGGTTGACGACCTTGGGTCACTGGCGGTTAGCGGCGAAAGCAGACGCGCTCAAATTGTGTTCGAAGTAACCTTGTAATGTTCGCTGTAGCTCTCCGTTCAACCCTTTGATTGAACAGACGAAGCGGCGCAGGCTCAGGAAACGTGTATTTACCTTAACTATATACGACTCATGCTATATGTTTGTCCATCCTTTAAAGAACAAGCTTTAAAATAAGCAAAATGCTAATAGTTACAGACAGGCATATTGTACGTCCATGGGTACGAGTCGAGCCACGTATTTGGTAACGACTTCATGATAGTTGATATGGCTTTTATTGCCCCCTAGAAATGTCTTTGTCAATTTCATATTGTATCCACCAGCATAATTGCCACAAGGCATACACCTCACTTTCTCTAAATACATACCTAACTCTTCACAAACTGAACGCACTTTTAAAGATTCTGACATGATCTACGTTACCGTCATCTACCATTATGTCGTTTCGTAAATGTATGTTTGTTTGTCGCAGCACCCGGGCGGCGAGGAGGTGCTGCTGGAGAAGGCCGGCCAGGACGCCACCGAGCCCTTTGAGGACGTCAGCCACAGTTCCGATGCCAGGTAACTCATTGCCTTAATTCATTCAATCATTATGCTGCCTTTAGAAAATATCAAGATGGGTTTGAGAAAATTCTTCTTTTAGTACAAGCGTTTCTTCTAGCACCTCGAAGGCAGTTGATTTCATTTGCAAGTTTAAGGGGTTGTATCCACTACTTCCAAATTACATGCTTTTGTAGCTCTACGAGGCAGGGTCGTAGAGTTGAGAGTGGCTAGACGGCAGCTCGTAGAAGAATCATTAATGCTACCTTTTTGGGTAGCATATCCAGCACTGTTCGGTCGCTGTTTCTCTTTCTCTGTCTTAGGCGATGAACCCGACAGGCACCAGCAGCAAGAATCGCATACTCACTAAGTAGTTTCGTTTAAAAAAACTCCTTTCAGCTCTTCCGGAGAGTACATAGTAAATTATCAACATTGTTCTTCTTCTTCTAGTGCCTCTCCGAACAGCGAAGGTTGGCAGTCAGCTTAGCATATGTCTCCTTATCCTTAGCGAGATGGAGTAATTCAGCGGCGCTCGAGATGCAGTCCATTCTCGTAGGTTCCTCAACCAAGACTTCTTCCTGCGACCGACACCTCGTTTTCGAGCAACTTTGCCCATCATTATTAATTGTAAAAGGGCGTACCTTTCGTGTCTCATCACGTGCCCTAGATACGCAACCTTCCTCACTCTGATGGTATCCCAAAGTTCGCGTTTCTTGCCGACACGTCGCAGGATTTCATCGTTTGTTACCATTTGAGTCCAACTAACTTTCAACATTCGTCTGTAAGCCCACATTTCGAATGCTTCTATACGTTTTCTGAGCTCTATTTTAATAGTCCAAGACTCGCATCCGTATAGACATTGTTATCAACATTGTTAGGAAGTTGAAATATTTGAATGTTGTTCCTCAGGTCCCTGATGAAGAAGTATAAAATCGGCGAGCTGGTGGAAGCGGACCGCACGCAGAACAAGGCGGCTTACGCGCCCGAATGGAGCAACGACCAGCCCAACGAACAGGGCAAGTGCGTACTGGCCTAGACCACACACTACACGACACCACACCTTATCACCGACCCCTGCCTCGTCCAACCCTCACTACCGTATACTAGTGATGTAACGAATATTCGCATATTTTTGAATATTCACATTCGCAAAATCTCTGCGAATGTATTGGTAGAAGTTGTAGTTAGTAATTTGAAGAAGTTGTAGTTCTGCCTTTCCTTGAATATTCATTGTTCCACAGTTTGCATTTAGCTCGTTCAGCATCGCAAAGTGTGAAATAAGTCCATGTTTCACTAGAATTCGATTTACTCATGTTAATAAATCACTATTACCACTCACAATCACTAACCTCAAAATACACTTGTTTTGTTTACGGAAAGACCGGTGCGAGCGGAATGACACTTCAGTCAGATGAGTTCATATCAACTCGGCAATTCGAACGAGACTACCACCATGCCATAGACAATTGGCGCCAATTTATAAAGAAACTAAATATTCGCATTCGCGAATGTCGGTACCAGACATTCGTATCCGCATTCGCATTCGCGAATGTTCAAAAAATGACACTCGTTACATCACTACCGTATACACGCAGTCATCGTCTGTATCGCCACAAACTTTGAACCGCTTGGCGGAAAACGCAGTCCGCATTAAGGGGTGAAAATGTTTCCTAAATAACTCAGATGGGAATGGTTTTAAGGTATTCTTATTAAGCAAAAGCAGCGAATTAGAAATACCTAATTCTAATTCGTTGTAAAGCCAGAAACATATTAACGTGTCGTGTCGTGGCGCGCCAGAAGCACATCGGTTTCATACATTTACTATGGTTAGAGACATATTTACGTGTCGTGTCGTGTAGACGCTCTAACCTCTCTATCTCTCTCTAACCCATAATAAATGTATGAAACCGATGCACCACGTCACGCCACGACACGTTAATATGTGTCTGGCTTAAGTTTTGAGTTTTGGCGGTGACTGTATCTTTGCTCTTATTTTTCTTTTCTATAAATTAACACGCTTGGAGGTAGGAAACTGGTAGTGCACTTCAAGTTTCATATTTTCATTAAATCACGCACGATGCATCATTATAACTTTTTAAAGTTTATGTTGAATGTTGCAATCTACACTGACAACTTGTGCTATAGTACCTATAAGAACCCGTAAACTTAGATCTGATGTTCCTTTATGCTACAATAATAATGTTACAAATTTTGTCTCAAAGATAGTGAGTAGATGAGCTAATTGAATACAATTCAATGCTTATTTTAACTAAACATAGAGATGGCCCGAAAGCGGCTTTCACCGCTTAAAAGATCTGAAGCAATCTCATGAATGATTTCAAAAGTTCCACGCGCAAAATTTGTTATTTTATATATTTACTTAAGTTTAATGTGCTTTATACAACACATTTTATTATGATTCCTAATAAGTATTAAGCGTCAAGTTTCGTTATAGCTTATTGGCTAGTTATCAAAGATTTTTTTAATATTTAAATAAGCATTACTGCATTATGTATCATGTTGTTGATCCAACTGTTGCATGTATCTTTCCAAATATTGTTGGCACAAAAAAGTACGTAATTAAGTATAAGAGAATATATTTTATTGTAATAATTTAAAGGTTGGTAACAATGCCCTAGTCGAGTATGGTGCTTGTGTATATCGTAACATAGTATACCTATCTATATTTGTGTAATGTGTCCTTTGTAACAGTTTAACAATAAACCTTTATTACCGCAATTAATTGGTTCTTAATTTTTATAACCCTATCATATTCATTAAACGCTATATTTGGGATTTTACATAGGTAGTCACAGTATATATATATTACATAGTTTGCATGAACCGTTTTTTTTGCTATTTAAGTCGATAACAGCATAATGTTTTCCATAGTTGGTTTGTAGAAAATTCACTTTTTGAATTCAGCTGCGTTTGTGGATGCTCGCTGTACATTTCGCTTACGTTCACCGCCAAAAAGGGGAAAGGGCAGGGCATTTTAAATTTACCAACGGAGCTTCGGACGTGTTTATGACTATCAAGATATACGTAGATTTCAAACTCAAATGTTATGGGTAGAAATAATATCTTGGTCCCGTTTGATACGTCAGAATTTAATTTGGTAAAATTAAAAGACTATGATTCCCAGTAGCGGGGAGGAATACTTTAGCTGCCCTGCACTGGCCAATAGTTGACATTGATTGCCATTCTATTTCAAATTCGCTTCCACAACATGACAGAAAACAACACGACCTTCTTTGCATCCCACATAATACCTTATAAATTTCAGACAAGTCAGCAATTATCTAGTCCTAAATAAGCAGAGATTATAGTACCACTATAAGTAATAATAACAGATAGTATCACATACATAGATATGTGGATACCATATAATACTAGTTTAATTAAAATATAATATATAAAAGTGTGATTTCTTTACGCGCACTCTATCCGCGTGCATACTAGACAGGTGTTTGAACCGCAAAATGCCTCACATTCGCAATGTTTGAGAGAAAGTAATAAATTAATAAATATTTCCAACACACACCATTTAGCCTAACCCCAAAGCAAGCACTGTAGGCTTGTGTTATGGGATACTAGGTTAACAGACAGAATACATATATATTTATATAGAAATACATATTAAACATCCATGACTGGAGTACAAATGCTCGTATTCATCACACAAACATCTGCCTCCACCGGGATTCGAAAGTGTTTGGAGATTGCTTGAACCATCTGCATGGGAAACTTGGTTTCTGGCCCATTTCATGTGATTCTTTCGCTCTCGATTCAAGTATGACCAAGGTGGTTCAGACTACGAATATCTTAAAGCATAAGTGATATTGGGAGCGATGCGGATAGAAACATTAAGTGCTCCCACACAACTGCGAATTCGCATCGCAAATATCTGTGAGCTCTCGCAAATGCATCGCAAGAATTTTCGATCTGATCCGCATCGCGCGTTATACGATACCAAGTCACACATGGTGATAATAGAAAGCTCTTCATAAGAAGATATGCTCATTCCAAGAAAATAATCACAAGAATTATCTTCTTGATCTAGAACCTATATTTTTGAGTAAAACATTTCCAGTTCAGATTTCATAATCGTAATAAATGGATGAACCCAAAATCTTCTATAACTATTTAACAATAACAGCGGTGCAACAATATTTTTGCGATCCATGTCAATATTACTAAAACACGGATGACTGCCGTTGAAGGAATGGTCACCTTAACTAAAGCTTTCCCGCACATAATCGTATCGCAGCAATTCGTATCGCATCGTAGTTTTGTGTGGGAGCCCTAATTGCCTTGTTTTGTTATCTGTATTATGTTAAAACAAATACTAACATAGCAACATAACTCGTGTACCAAGCTCAATCCTATAATACGCTTATAATTCCAGAAGTATCATGGTCGTTGCCAAACATGTCTCAAAGTATGATAACATGTGCATGCGCTTATTTTTTTAATTAGCCTAGCCCCATTGTAAGGCTTGTGCTAGGGTAACGGATAGAATACATATTATATTGATATACTAGCGGACCCGACAGACGTTGTCCTGTCTACACGTCTTTGTGAATCTAAACCATTCTCAGATCCCCTTGAACACACACAAAAAATTTCATCAAAATCGGTCCAGTCGTTTAAGAGAAGTTCAGACATACACACTCACAGAAGAATTATATATATAAAGATACTAGCTGACCCAGCGAACTTCGTACCGCCCTAAAAAAATAGGGGTTATCCAGCGGACAAAATTGTGAATCTAAACCATTCTCAGATCCCCTTGAACACACACAAAAAATTTCATCAAAATCGGTCCAGTCGTTTAAGAGAAGTTCAGTGACATACACACTCACAGAAGAATTATATATATAAAGATAAATATATTTAATATAGTTATGTTTTTATTTATTTTTAATTGCTAAATCCGGCCGTGGTAGCATAATGGTCAGTGCATTCGCCCGGATAGCGAAGAGTGCGGGTTCGAGTCCCGTCCGCTGCCTGGTCCGCGTGGATTTTTTTTTCTAGTAAACATTTCTTTATATTTAATATATCTAGAAATATGTATATACATCTTGACTAAGGTAAAAAATGCTCGTATTATTACTGCATCTACTAACATATGTTCCTACCGGGATTTGAACCCGGGACCTATGAGTAAGCGACGCCATGAAACCCGCGGCGTACATACAATACGCGCCACGAAAGATGAGATTTGACTCGCCACGTGGTTTGAGAACTTATAGGAGTTGGCAACACTGTGCTTATGTAAATTAATCGGAACCAGTGTTGCCAGGTCTCCAGATTTTACAGGAGATCTCTTGTTTTTCTGAAATTTCTCCTGTTCTACTGTTTTTCTACATGAATCTCCTGTTTTTTTTAGAATACGATTTTCTTTTTTAAATTGCATGTTGAGTTGATGAAAATAAATGTAATTGTCTAAAGAAAAAATAGCTTTGAGGGGCGGCAGAAGTCACAGAAACACATTCGTTACTGGTCTTTACCGTGATTTACCAATCTAGGACCGTCACACATGATCTTTTTGTTGGTACGCGTTGGTGTCTGGTGTTGTTGACGCTAGTGTGTTGTTGTGACAGCGCGTGGAGCTCGTGGCTGACGCCGCTGCTGCTGGGCGTGGCGGCCACCGTCCTGTACTGCTACCTGTTCGCGTAGTGGTCGCGGTATGCCGTCGCAAAACTTCCCATATTTACAACCCCATACAGCACTCCGCCGCCGTTCCCTGCTCAACGTGACGTAAACCAGGGCTTGTTTACCGGTTAATTTTAAAACCTAAATCAGTGTCAAGTACATTAGGAGCGTTTTATTTAGATGTGGCTCTACCTTAACCTTAAAAAAACCGGTTTTCCTAAAAAGCGAAATCAAATAGGTTTTGAATCAATTTAGCGGTTTTTAAAGGGTTTCATTTCGCTCTTGCTGACGGCATCGATAATAAGTGAATAATTTGACTCACTAGACGCTAACAAACTTGTCAATAAATGCATCAAACTCTGAGCATTAACAAGTTGTGCACGTGTCGCTCTGGATTAAACCGGTTTATTAAGGTTTTAGGTACCGCTTTCATTTCTGACGCGCTCCGAACGAAACCTTTACTAAAAACCGGTATTAACCTTTATTTACCGGTATTTTCGAAACCGATTTCAAGCCCTGATGTAAACCGTGCTTATCTCATCGGATAACTGTAACGTTGACCTCTTTAGCATTCAGACCGATAGTGATCGTTGTCGGAGCAGAGCCTCCGCATGTTGCGTCCGAGGCCAAATGTTTGTGTATGACTTGCATATATAAAATTAGCAGATTTCGTTTATCACAATAATGCACGTGATGTTCTCGACTAGTGCGAATTGAAAGTCTCAATAAAACTATATTATAAGTACTACGAATGGAAATAAAGACGCATAGTTTAACGATAGCCGCGCGCAGCCGATTTGTAAGCTTGTTAGATGCGAATTCGCAGGATCATTGTGTATAATTAATGCGGCGTACATTTGAATGTGTTGTAAAAAAGCCTTTTGTCGGTCGTATTTTAAGAGGAATCATTTATGTGTATAATGCGATTCAAATAAGAATAGGAAAGCCAAGAGACCTCCATCTGTCAAATATCGCTTGAAAAGTACGGCTTGCAAAAAAAACTTGGGACCCTTTTTTGGCACTCTGCTAATTATGGAATAATAACCAAACATTTGTAAACAAACAATAACAAATATTGTTAATTAATATTGGTTGATATTTTGTTTTCATTTATTGAGCTTTGGCTATGAATGTTTGATAACCTAAATCGTCAACCAAATGTCACTTTAAGTTGCGTTCAGAAACGCGATTTAAAACTTTGGTTTACATATTGAATGCATGTTCGTATGTGACCTAGTAATAGTGCATGATTATTCATAACTACTCCGGCGCGGCGGTAATGCCGAGATGAGCGGAATTGAAGAGCTTAATTCTGATTAATGTTTTTTCTCGCACAGCCATAATAAATAAATATTATTGAAAAATCGGATGTTTTTTCTCACTTAATCTTAGTAAATAACTTTTATTATATAAAAACTTGGTCACTCTACCTTTTTCGTTTGAATTGACAGCTATGACGTCACAATATGGCGCCCCGTCGATCCTATTCTTAGTTGAATCGCATTAAAACGTTTTACATTTTATATGTTTGGTCTAAGCATAAACTTTGTTTAGTGTGAATCTATGAATAAGTATTTGCATTACGGACGAAGGTATAACAGGTGCTCATGTTGTATGCAACAGCAATAGTGCATGTATGTTAATCTTATTTGTGAATAGAGTCAATTAATGTTCAATAGTTATATATATTTTGCATGCGACTATGGAAGCTGTTTTTATCATAATTTGTGCACAAATCTGTATTTTCTCTGTTATTTTGTAAGAATAAATGTTATTTATCTACAATTTTACCAAGTTATTACTTATATTGCTACAAGAGGGAGCGAATACACATGTGGGCCTTATAAATGTCGTTAAGACTAATTATTTTTGTACTTGTAAGCCACGATCATGTCTGTATGAGCGTAGTTGATGATTTGCTATACTTTCCCATTCCTTTAAATTAATCTCATCCAACCCTTTTAGCATGACCACCGAAACGGGATATGATATAGCGATATATCGACATTATCCTTCAGACTACTGTCAAACTCCATAGTAGTCTGACAGTTAATGTCGATATATCGCTTTATCATATCCCGTTTTGGTGGTCATGTTAGAGGGGCAACAGTCAAATTACATGGCGCAGACTATAACACGATTTTCAATAAAAGCATTAAAATTTATTAACAAATATTAATGTTGGTATCAGTTTATTCAGTGCAAATGGTATAACTAAAGTATTGCAGTATTTGTTCTAAATTTATTGAATAATACTGAAAAAGTCGTTCTTCTAAATTTTGCTTTGTCATAATGAAGTTGGTAAATATCTTTGTTAAATAGATTTTAAATCTTTATAAAACATCTGGTACATGTTGTAAGGTATATAGTTTTAAAGTAATTTTCAATGCCTCTGGTGAGCTAGTAAATTTGAAACAAATTATTTTTAATGCCATGTATAGTTACAATGGCATTTTTTAAAAAGTGGTTTATATGAGAGTATATAATGTATGTGTTTCTTTAATCTTCATGGTGTGATTATGTAAAAATAGCAGTTAATTTTGGGTATTAAATTATTATAATGCATTTAAGTTAAATGCCGAGGTGACATGGTTTAAGTTTATTATATTTTATATAAATAAATTGACTTGCGGGTATTGTCATAAGTTCTTTTATTTATCTAGATATGTAGTAAAAATTAACAGATATAACTTTAACAGAGTATAAAATAATAGTCTAGTTTCTTATAAATATTTACCCGTAACAGGAAACACACACCTCAGAACCGTCAGATCTGAAATAAATACAGTACACATTAATGGCTAATGAACAGGGGTAAAGTGGCGTAGCCTTTAGTTTTCATTAATTATGAGAAAGTACCTATTTAAATAGTAGACTATCTAAATTATGAATGAAAATCATCAGAAAACTATAAAATAATTTCTGTCTTAGTTTGTCAGTAAACATTTACATATGAGGAGCTGGCAAACTAAACGGTATAATTACATAAAATTAAATTTTACAGGAGCTGTATAAAACTGAATGACATACCTACAGTGAGCTTATGGCATGGTTTTTAATTTATAATTTTTTGTAATTTTAACATAGTTTTGATTGAAAATTATTTGAGATTCAAATTCAACGGGTCCGAAACCTCCAGACTGTAAAAATATGTACTTTGACCAGATGCTTAATTATACCGTTTCATATTTTACATATAGAGATCTGTTTAGCTAAAAAAACAATCAGGTATAAAAAATCTATTCTTTTGTTAAGTACTGATTCTTGATACAATAGTTTTTTTTTGCAGTTTATTTTTACAGAAATTTTTCTTAACCAATAAGCAAAAAAATATATTATAAAAAATATAAATAAATAAAATACCCCAATAATGAGCACAGGAAGCAATAGGATTGGTTGCACTGGGTGCAGTGGTGCTGGCACTGGGCACACATCACCCGGTCGCAGTATGCACACACCAGAACTGAAGATTCCCCACAACTGCATTGTTTGACAACTGAACATCTGTTTTCCACCTGCATTTTCCATATGACAAAAGATAATAAATTATAAATACCTAATTCAGTGTAAGTAAGTTTGAACAAACGATAATACACTGACTGCTTTCACCTAAACAATAAAAGGTATGTGCTCAATATAAAGAGCTATTCACCCATCTAGTTTTTAAAGGTCATAAATGTCAAATAATCTAAAATTGAGTTGCCAACAATGCCAGAACTTTCCATACCAAATTTTATTAAAATCCTTCCAGCCGTTTAGATGTGAAGAAGTAACAAACATACACACTCACAAACACACCACCTTTATAATATTAGTCTGAAGATCTAGACACGCAAATTTTGCATTGACTGTAGGGTGATGCATTTATCTTACTAAACATGCAAGTATAAATTCATTCATAGTTATGGCAGTATAATTGTATCAACATTAGTCACTAGATTAAAGTTGTTGGTCTATTGTACAAATGATACCATATACTGCTGACTATAAATGCTGAAAAAAGTTTTAGAACAGGTTTGATATTGGTCTGTAGGCCAAACATGTATGGAAGCTGAGCAATCTCCTTTAGACCATCCTAACCTTAATATAACAAACCTCAGTTTAAAGAATTACTCGGTATAACAAATATTTACTTCTTCCCTACCAATTTGTTGTATCGAGGTTGCAGTGTACTTACCTACCCAATTATTTTAATAACACTTTGTTAATATTACTCACCACTGTTCCTGAGTGTGAAAGATTGCCATTTTTCCCTATAAAAAGCTGTTTCATTTTATCTCTACAAGAAGGAGCAGCGATAGCATTGTTACTTTGTAACACCGGTGCTTTCTTGGCACCTTTAAATAGTAGCTCGAGTGTCTTTTCTAGAACAAACACTTTCTGTATGATTGTATATCTAGTGGAAGAAATAACGCCAGAGAATTACAATCTCAACAGCAATACAAACTTACCATAAACTTTTTCAAGTCTTACTTCATTGTTGTTGAATTGCTTCAACCCAACATGAATTTTACTCTGAGGAAGAAAATCTTCAGTGAAAGGGTTACTTCTTTTTGCCATGGTTTTCCAAGTGGATTCTGTATTTCTGTAACACTAAGATTTTTTATAAAAATGGTTGAAGGTAAAAACGATGCACATATTAAACAGAAAAATCATTTGTTTCGTTTCAAGTATTTGATGGGTGACAAAAATAATGAAGGTATATACAAGATAAACTATAAACATGAAAATCATTTTATTATTTCAATTATTTGATGGGTGAAAAAAATAATGTACGGTACATCTTACTTAATACTTCCATGCGTTTTGACTAGCGCGATAGCGGAATTAAGTTTAATTCAATCACAGAAATTATAAAATTAAAACAAAATGATCGAAAAACAAAACTTTTACAAACATCAAAACAATACAAAATCCATTATCATTTGTCACTGTCATAAGCAGACTGTCAGTGTCAATATATATTTTTTTATTCTTTATCCTTTCTAGGAAGTGCAAAGTTACTGTACACATACAGTAGAGCCAATTTTCAAAAGTTATTTCTGTCCACAGAGGAGTGGATTCTATATCGACAGTGCGACCAAGATCTTGTGGTGGGCTGTAATTGAAACTAATTAAAGAGAGGCAAATTTGTCGATAATTCTCTACACCTAAACTTAAATTTGACAAAAGTGTCGTGTCGTATCGAGTCTCTTACCCAATACCCAATAAATGTATGAAACCGATACGTCACGGCAAAGGTCACGACACACCACAACACGTTAATATGTTTCTGGTTTTAGCCTTGATCATCTCGACCTCCACTCTTATATATGCTCTAAGCTAATGTCCGATAAGCTTCAGTCACACACAGTGATTACATACAGAGGTGAATACTCGCTACGAATTTATTACTCGCTATTCTATTCGCTGTGTGTGACAGGTGTACTCGTAGCGAATAGCCATTCCGCTCAGATGAGCTTCAGTCCACAGTTTCAGTCACACACAGCGAGTGCATTCGCTGCAACTAGTCGCAGAGACAATAGGCTAGTTGACCCTTTTTGGAAAAAGGTTTTAAATGGTTAATAAATGTTCTATTAGACCGAAAAAAAATGTATTGTATTTTTTTTAAACCTAGAAAGCTACAAATCTTTGATTTTAAAATAGACTTTTCATGGACATACAAAAACGCTGTCGGCCATTTTAGGCTATAGATTATCTATGCTATGACGTGAACTGTGGTAAACAAAAACTCGTAAACACGTAGAAAATTACTTTTAACTGAGTTTATAATAAAAAAAACATGATTTCTAATAAATACCACGAAAAATAAAGTAATTATCATTACTGTATTGTACGAGAATATAAAAACACATCCTTGAAGACTCCAGGAAAGTTGTGGATTAAAGTGCCGAAAGAAATTAACCTACGCAACTTTATTACACTTATTCATATGTTGTATCAGTTTTATGTTTATTACTACATTGTAATACTAAATGCACTGTACTTACATAGATGCCTTGTCGTTTCTCTGCTCCGCAGAGCAGAAATCGGGGTTTAGTGCAACAAATTCACCAACCATCAATGCGTCAATTCTTGGCAGATTTGTGCTTTCTGTTTTCACAAAGCCGGCATCCATAATTAGTTTTGTCAAAAAAAACTAACTTTACTGTGTTTTTCTTTCAAAAAAAAAAGTAAAGTTAAAAGTGTTTTAAGATAAATTAGTCAGACGAAGGAATCCTCCTACAGTAACATGCGAATGACATTCAGTTTTTTGTTTACCACAAGAGACGTCAAAATCATGGCGGATGTGGCGAACAGCGTTTTTAGTGTTTAAAAAGTATAGACTAAAAATTATTTCTTTTAAATTAAATTTCTACAGCAATCTTCTGCTTTTATGAAGTGAAATCGATATATTTAGGTTCCTTAGACCAAATACTTTAAGAAATAAACATTTATTTAATACAATTCGACATGAGTCAACTAGCCTATTCGCTGCCTGCCACACATAGCGAGTGCTGCACGCGAATTTCGACAGTCTGTAGGTGTGAAAATTTAATTAAGCTGTACTATTAACGTGCAGTATAAAGCAGCGCGCTGAGCGGAATGGCCATACAGTGCTGTCATCTGCTAAACCAAAAAATCAGAAGCGTGGAGTGTAAAAATCTGTATGCTTGAATTTAAGTCCAATAAACTTGCGGTAGGTAGTTTAATGAATAACAAAGTTATTAAGAAAAAGTAGATACATAAAAAACCAATTACAAGTAATTAAGAATATTTTTATTAATTTTGCAAATTAACTCACATGTTATTATTGTACTCAAAATAATAACATTTGTTCTATCACTTCATTAAAAGTAGTGCAAGTACATTTTATTCGATAAAATTACCAATTCGCTAAATCACTGTAGAATTCAACTGAACATTCGAATGATGAACAAACAACCCACATAACAAACTTTGACACATACAGTTTGTCTATAAAGTCGTGACATTAAATGATGGCGCCACTAGTATGAATGTAGCAACCCTACACAGTCGGACCAAAATTATTTTGATACTGGTGCCAATTCTGGTGTGATTCTCTAAACTTAACACTAAATTTAACATCAGTTTCTCCTTTTCATTCTGTATAGAGAATGACAAGGATATACTGCTGTCAAATTTAAGTTTAGGTTTAGAGAATCATCCTAGAATCGACACCACTATCAGTTCATTCAAGTAAAATGGGTAATTAATAAGACACACTATGCAGTCGATTTTGTTTCTGTTTTATATATAGTAGGTACCTTTTCTTATAAAAAGTTTAGCCAAGCATATTTAATTGAATCAGAATAAAATTATTATAGATAAAATAGTACTTTATAGTGTAAAAGTGTGTAATGTTGGTGAATACCGCTGAGGTGCCATTGAGACCAGAGCCGGTAGGTAATCATCAATACACACAAGTATCATCATACGACGTTTTTTAACACACCTATTGAGAAAATAATACTAAAAATCATTTTATAGTATAAAAAAGTTTATTTAGAGAAACAATTTGTAAATGTGCAGTTCGTAAAATTAGTGATAGGTATCTTCACTAAAAGCATCTGGCCATGGTTCTTTATGTGACCAGTTCTTTCTTTGGTCGGCCTTGCCGGTTTTCCCAGGAGTTTCAAACTTTCCATCATTCTTAAAACCTTCGTTGACTATCCGACTCTCTGATTTTCCTGAAAAAAAAAAGTAAAAAAATATGTAACGGAATAGAAACAATAACTTATTGACATGAAGCAATTAATTCAAAATTGGTAGAAAACCTGACCGAGTTGAACCATAATAACGTATCAAAAGAAATGGTCGTACTACAATATTACATATTTACAATGTCAATCTAACCTAAAAATGTGCAATGTAAACAATGCCTTTTTTGGTCTCAAAATCGTAAATTGAGTAAATTTGTAACTTCAGGCAGATTACAAACAAATAGTTACACGTCATAGATGCTGTTCGCTCATAAACATCGTCCAAATCCCACAAAATTCGTCCAGCTTGGTAGTCTTCGATACATCGCTGGGAAACTTTAAAAATCACTTCCCGCGTGCCACTCCGATTTACTTTAGTTATTTTTATACCTTTCTGCGTAGTTTCGTCTTATTTTATTACAGTTTAATCCAAACAATAAAAAATAAAAAAGGAAAACTGTTCCACAACTGAAACTCGATGACAGCTGATGTACATAAGTTTGGTGTTGCCAGACACATGAATAATGTTAGTTCCTCAAACATGAATGTCACGACTTTATAGACAAACTGTACGGCATCTGTGATCTGAACGGGCGTCTGCGATTCAGTAAAACGTTGTTTCACGACCGAGAAGAACGAAAAGACGAACTAAATGTATAGATTTCGTTTGGAAACATCCGTTCGCGTAGTTCATTTATTTATACGTTATTACCAAAATTAAGTAAATGGCGGACCATAGGCATTCTCTACCAGTCAATCAGTATGAGTGTTTGAGACGAATGTTTTAGCGATAGAGTGCGAGCTACTAAAGTTAGAGAAAAAAAATATCCTACAGAACTATACTATACTATAAACGATTCGGTATTCACTTACTCACAAACATATCTTGGGAAATCCTCAACTCCGTTTCGTTAATGTTGTCATGACAAGACATCTAAAATGCAACAAAAGCAATATTATGTAGTAGGACACTATATTATATAGTAGGGCTGGCAACTCTACACACACCTGACAAACGACAAAGATGGCGGATCTGCCACATTCTAGTTCGATTTTTTGCCGTTGGACTTGAGCTTAGACCATTAACCACTGAGTAGTGGGTAGTGGCGCGGACTGTAGTCTGTGTTTCTGGCTTAATACAAAAACTCCTGTTATGCCGGCACTTCACATAGCTATTCATATTTGCTTTTATTTTGCGAAATAATATTTCCTTTTCACCACCCTGAAGTGTGAATAGGACAACTACTATCAAAATGGCAAATAGCAAACACTAATAGCCTTGTGAAATGCTTGCCTTAGAAAGAGTTGTACATGGAAAAAATCAATCACACATGACATGCTCACTGCTCCCTACTGTTTCAGAACCAAATTTTAAAAACGAGATGTTATAGACTGAAATAAAAATGATATATATTTAAAGTAATAAATAAAGGGAACTAATTTAGATTTTAGCATAAGCTAATGACAGTTTTATTATGGCAACACTGCCAACAGGGCACCTTCGATCGATGGTCTGCTGTCAACAAATTAACTCGAATTATTTATGAAACAAAATCTTATTTGGATATAGTTAATCCAATTGAATAGTTTTATCTTACTCTGGTTTTAGCACCATAAGTAAATAAAATATTTTTAGTGTTGTACTTGCACTTGTGAGTGTAAGTGAAAGTGTTTTGATGTGTCGTCCAATTCCATGATAGTGACGAGGCTAATCGCCGCTTTGTACCATATGTGAGCGGCCCCTCCGCGAATGTTACGTAACTGGAGGCAGCAGAAGGCATGTCGTGGATGAAGCGGCCTCAGGGCGGCGCGACTGGCCCGCCGGCCTCCGACCAGCCGCCCTACAACGCCGCCCAGGTAAGCCAGCTCACTGAGGTTACTATTGCATAGACTTCTACACAAACAATGACGTGGTCCAATACTTTCCATTTAACAGCCTCATTAGTTCTATCTCTATTGTTTACAGTTAAATGGTTTTTTATAATTCAATACAAAATGTGTGTTATCATTTATAGGATGTAATGTTTAACCTATTTATTTAAATACAATATTATAATTTCTTTCAGTCATATGGAGGGCAACAAAACGTATATCCTAATTATCAGGGAGGTAATCCTAGCAATTCCCAACAACAACAGTATTGGCAGGTGCCCCATCAACAGCAGCCCCAATATAACCAACAGTATGGCCAAGTATATCAACAACAAGAATATGGAAGTAATGCCAATCAGTACTATCAACAGCCCACACAATATAATCAAAATTATGCTCCGAATTATGCTGCTGCCCAACAAGGCTTCCAGCAGAATTATTACCAGAATCAGGGACAACCTAATTATCCACAAAATAAGCCAAATGCAGATAGCTGGGAAGATAACTGGGATTGGGGATGGGAAGACTCAGCAAAACAAGCACAAAAAGTGCAGAATAATGCTCTACAAACAACAACACAATTGGTAACTTCTGAGACGCAACAAGTGTTCAATAATGCTAATATTATAGAAGAAAGTTTTGCTGCCACTGACAGTTGGAACTGGCCTGTGGATGATAAGAAAGATGGGTCTCAACCATCTGCTGCAGCTCCCACAACAACTAGTAATCAACATAGAACTGCGGAATCAACATTTAATCAGACCTCTTCAATAGAAAATAACTCTGAGAGAAACGCACCCGGACAAAATATACCTAGCAATGTTTCAAATGAACATTCAACTGAAGAGATCAAGACATTAAATGACCGAGATATCGTCAAAGAACATTTGCCAAATCTTGCACTTGGCAAACGACTTCACTTAGAAAATTTAACTCCACAATGGTCTATAGAGTCACAAATGTCACAAGAATCTAGTGATGGACCTCATACACACTCAGAAGGTACATACAGAAGTGAAAACCAATCTAGAAATTCTAATAAAAGTAGTCCAGGTTTAAATGCAGATAATTCCAACTTTAATTACTCTCAGGCAGGAATAGATGAGTTATATTCCAGTAATGTTGAATCTGCAGCTGATCAAGCCACATTAGTAGAACAAGACCCTATCCAAAATAGCACTCATGATAATCAGGATGAACTGTCTAGCTCTTTACAAGAAATGAGTATAAGCAACAGTGAAAATCCTGCTCTTGATAATTTGTTAGTCAATAAAGAATCAAATGCAATCAGCCAAATACCAGAAAACGAAAGTGTAATGCAGCAACCAGCTCTTACTATGCCTTCTACTAATATACCATCTCACTCAACTGCTGGCCAAGTCCCTGCTCTATCACCCACTCCTCAACCTGTACCATCACCAGTACCAAATTCTGGCAACTTGCCCCCTCCATCATCAAGTTTAATGTCTTTACCTCCTCCAACATCTTCTTTGTTGCCACCACCTAAGAACTTACCACCAACATTGCCATCTCAAAACCCCTATAAGCTGGCAGCACCATTTACTCACAAAAATATTACCAAAGCACCTTCTTCAAATCCTCCTGTACAACAGTTTTCCGCTCCTCCTACTAGTTCAAACTTGACATCACCAGCAGTAGTAAATAAAATATCTCAACACAATAGAGTTACTGTTGGGTTTGGCGCTAATTTAGAAACTACACCTGACAATTCTGAGAGACCTGATCAGCCTCAAGTTCAGACTTTTAGATCCTTGCCGACAATACCACAGGTCCCTGAGAATTTGGAAGTTGCACCACAGAATGACAGAAATGAATATTTGCAAACAGCACATTTATCAAGTGGTGATTATGAGGAAAACACAGATTTTAGTCGCAACCTTCCACCACCTGGTTTAAGGAGGATGGTTGTAGGTCAACAAGAAACAGAATATACACAAAACCTGAATATAGCTGGGGATGAACCTCCACCTGGTTTGTCTAGAATGGTTCCTGGTCAACAGAATGAAAATCAGGGTGTGTATAACCAAGTGAACGAAAATTATATGGACAGGCATATAGACGGGGAACCGATGGAGAACAGTGGACGGCCATATAGGCAGGCCGAGGGTCAGCAAACATCTGACAACTACAGCCAGGCTTCTTCAGTTAGAAGCAATGAGAGGCGTCCGATTGGCTTAGATCGAATGGTTCCAGGAGAGTCTAGTAGTAATGAGTATTCTCAATACCAGGCTAATTCCTATGTCAGCTCCAATGAGGAACGAGTCGTGACCGGAGTAGATCACGAGTATGCTATTTCCTCAGAGCCAGTGCTCGCTGATGTACGAGAACAGGTAATGGACGGTTCAGAGTATACTGAACATCCGATTAGGAATCCTCCTAGAAACGTCATCGGCGCCCGGGAATCCAGCAACGATACATCGCCGGATTTCAGCTCGCGTGCCGAGGAGCGACAGAGGGAAGTCATCATGGAAGGTGAAAACTTACAAGACTTAAGTATGGTTTCGTCGGGAGATTTGACATTTTCGAGGGAGCAAACGGTCGACGGAGCCGATTTGGACGTCTCCGAAACGGTGGCAGACAGAAGGATCGAAGCGCCGGAGTCGACGGACCGCTCGATGGGCGGCTCGCGGCGCCAGTCACTGAGCCACGTCAACACCTCGGGCGAGGACAATTCCGAGAGGGAGCGGTTGGTGAAGTCCTCGCCCAGACGGGACGCGCACAAGTCGTCCAGGGAGCGGGAGAAGGAGGGACGATACTCGCGAGGAGACAGGAAATACGATCGAGAGTCAGAGCGAAGGGGCGGGCGGGAGGAGCGACGGACGGAGCGGGACAGGAGGGACAGAGATAGGGTCAGAGATAGAGACCGCGACCGGGACAGGGTGGACAGAGAACGGGACAGGGGAGACCGGGACCGGCGCTCGCCGGACGCGCGTCGCCAACGCCGGTCCGCGAGGCCGCGTCCGCTACCTGACGACACCGACTACTACAGCGACCGCGACCGAGACCGAGACCGCGACCGATACGACAGGTGACTCTTCATTCAATATATCAACCTCCTAGTCTATTCCTGATGTACTTAAATTTAACTTATATTTGACTTTTAATAATCTATCTCATTGAACTAAGATTTAAGTAGCAAACGTCTTCCATAAATTTAACGCGATTAAATTACTATTGAGAAGGCTCTATTGCCTATTGTTGTGTTCAAAATGATAGCAGCAGATTGTAAGACGCAAATTTATATTATACAAGCGGAACTAACTGAAGTTATCCTGCCCGATTATTCACAGTACCTGTATTTTGTTTTAATACTATTTTTAGACGCCAGGGATCGTACACGTCTTCGAAGCCGCCCCGACATGAGGGCTCGCGGTACCGGGAGGAGCGCGAGTACCGGCGGTACAACACCGTCGAACGAGAGGGCTCGCGCGCGCACCGGGACCGGGACCGGGATCGAGACCGGTACGAAGACAGGGACCGGTACGAGCACAAGTATCGCGACATCGACCCCACCAGGAAGTACGGCAACCTGCGCAAGGAGCGTGACGAAGAGCGAAAGAGAGGTACGCGAACTACACTATAAATTGTCTTATTGAAGTTATACTTCTTTAGGCGCGTTATGAAAAAATGATGAGAGTGAAATTTTTACATGCGCGCGCATCACTGTAACCCAAAAGTAACAGCATGAAGTTGGCCGCGGGCGCGTTATGAAAAAATCATGTGAGTGAAATTTCGAGATGCGCGCGCATCACTGTAACACAATAGTAACACCATGAAGTTGGCCGCGGGCGCGTTATGAATGTTAGTGTCTAATAATGGTGGATTATTAGACATCTGTTCGAAAGGTACTTTGAACGATCCACGGAGCTCCATAAGATGATCGCGTTGTCAAAAACAATGTTGGCACGCTCGTCGCCTCTGATCACTGTTTTCATATTTATAATATTTATCCACATGTTTCTAGTTTCTATATAGACACAACGTGTTTTAGTTACTTACAAGTGCTAATTACATATGGACTAATAACTTAAATTCAGTAGTGATTTTAATTGAATATTTTGAATATTTATTTAATTTGTCAAATTAAAACTGAACTTAATTGACTGTGTTAACTATCCTTTTCCAGTCCTTTTATTATTTTATTGTAATTATTTTTATTAATTATTTGCATGCAATTAAAAAATATTTTTAATGATGCTAAAGAAGTATAACTTCTCACGCGCGCACATAAGTTACACGCATCCATTTTTTTTTATAGTAAACCTTATTTGAGACGACTGAAAAGTTTACGGAAAAGGACAAATTTGACAAAACAGAATACGCTTATTATGATTGCGAAAGAACTACATATTCTGATATGTATTTTTCTATTCTTATAGCATCTTTGTGACTTGACTTCATATTGTGTATTTGAATGAGAACACGCACTGACGATTGTGTTATATTTATTTTTCAGTCGTGACATTCTCGAGCGATGCGAAATCTAGTGATAGTAGTAGGAAAGAAGGTACAATGAACAACATACAGTTTGTGACATGCCGTGTCCTTTACTAGCACACATCACGTGTATAATATGCATGCCACCGTTTGGAGTTGAGTAACACATCAGCTTGCGAAATTGTCTCGATACATTACTGAATAATTACAGAAATGCTTTCTTTTTTCAAGATCTATCAGTGTCATATTTTAAACATGCTTGAAGAACTAATAAGAGTTTAAATGGATATATCTGTTATCTTTATGTAGTGTTATTTGTATTCTTGATATCTGATTTCCAAACACTTGAGGTGTCGGTAACATGTCATATTCTTGTGAAAATTCCCATCTATCTTTAATTTCATAATACTGAAATACGTCTTAATGTTGTAAACATTTTGGTTTTTTTTATTTTACACTATTATCAAAAAATTATGTCTGTTATTTAGGTTGTGTCAGTTGTGTAATTAGAAAGTTAGTAAGAAGTAGTGCGAATTGATATATGAAGGTAGTCTACAAGGTTTCAATAGGGTATTTGACAGTATTAGAAATAAAGTGTAAATTGTTATGCATCTGTACTTATAATCAATATTGGCAGGGATTTTTACTATTATTACAGAAAAAATACTGATAATTTTACTAAAAACCCACGAAAAAGATAATAGTTTTTATATCGATTATCACGTGATTGAAAACGCCTGGGATTGGCGGAGCCTAAAATGACGTCACACACTAGTAAACATCCGGTCAAAGTGACATTACATTGTATCGTTTGACGTTTTAATGACAGTCGTTTGACGTCACACACCACTGAGACGATATATTGCCCAGAGAAACGTTTTCGCGGCAACTTGAGAATTGGGATTTAGTTATTTTTACTGAAATAAAAAAGAGAATGATGAATATCCATTTTTTATGGACTCCATAAACATTAGTAAGTAACGAGATCGTTTTCCAAAACTTGTCAAATACCCTATTGTAAGAAAGCTAAATAATCAAATAATCAAGATAGTGATGCAGAATTACAATTTTATCCATCTTATTTATTCAATGCATAGGGTTGCGAAATGACATTAATATAGATTTTATTATAATAATATTGATAAATCCATAGGATAAAAAATCTTAGTAGAAGATAAAAGCAGGTTTTGATGCCGGCACTTCAATTAGCTATTTGTATATTTGTCAACATTATTTTATTATATATTTCCTTGTCATGCTTTACAAGGAATGGAAAGGACGGACTGATGTCAAGTTTACAAATACCAAACACGAATAGCCAAGTGAAGTGCCAGCATGAGAATTTACACTACAAATCATTGATGTATATTTGCATTGCCTTTGATTTACATTAAATTTATAACTTAAGAATAAAAAAATCCGTTTTGTGAATTTTTGATTACTATTGTAGGTAGTTACTTAAATATAACTAAGCGTAGCGCTGTCCCTCCATCATTTTATGTTCTTTCCATCCAACAGATTTAGAAGCCATATAACTAACTCATTTAATTTTTAAACCGGATTTATCTAATTATTATTTAAACAAATAAACTTTCTCAAACATATAGACTATATTTTTTTGTAAATAAAACAATTCGCACTTTGTTTTCTATTGAATAAATGCATCAAAATCTGGGACATTACATCACTGGTATACGGTACTTCCGACGACATTATAACGCCGTTGGTCTTGGTCCTTATGGTGGGTTACAGTCTGCCTGCACTCCAGATATCAGGTTATTCCAAAGCTGAAAAATAAATAAACATGATTAGGTTTTTTATATGGAGCACAGAGAGCCTGTGCTCCATATGTAAAAAGTGCTTAAAAGGCTGACAACTAAATGAACGTGTTTTTGATGTGTAACATCTTTCCTCTCGCTTTCCTGCAATTTGTGGGAGTGATTTCGTGAAATGGGAAGGAAGTGTGTAACAGGAAGTCGCGAAAGCGCGCGCTATTTGATTTGATTTGAGAACATAATGTTCAAATGGCTTGTTCCTTTTGTAGTAGGTTTTATTTCTTTTTTTACTAATATAAGGTGAGGTTTCAAACACACACATCATACGCGACTACTGTAAGGCTCGCTCGTTTTTTTTTCGAAGGCAGGTTCGACTGGTCTATAGACTCCAGATGGAGATGCCACTCCTCCCGTAAAGGTATTCCACCTTTAGAGGCACTTGACAATTCTCGGCTTGAGGTCCCCTTAGAATCTCATCGTCGTCGTCCCCAAACTCGGTGACGCTGTATAGGTCATCATCATCGTCAGCCTTTTAATGTCCCCACTGCTGGGGCACAGGCCTTCCCTATCGATGGAATAGGGAGATTGGGCCATGACTCACCACGCGGGCCCGGTGCGGATTGGCAGGTGCTAACGACTGTAGTTGCAGCCGGGACTAACGGCTGAACGTGCCTTTCGGAGCACGGAGGAATTCGAGATAGGAGTTTTTTGGTCACCCATCCAATGACCGATCACTGCGAAAGTTGCTTAACTTCAACGATCGCAGCCGAACAAGCATACACAGAAAAAAAAAGAACGTGTTTCATAATCGGTCGTCAGTTAGGTTAGGTTAGGTTAGACGCGGAGGTGACTATAGGACCGTGTTGCAGGCGCTGCGTACTCGCCGTCGCGGGAGGCGCGGGAGTCGCGCGACACCGCCACCGACGACGACGACCGCGAGCGACGACACCGCCGCCGACACCGCGACGACTACTACGCAGGTCCGTGCGCCGAATGTCTATACTAATTGACACTTATTGTTTTGACGCAGTAACAATAAATATGTTTTACTAGCATTTTCTTTACGGACAAGTTAACTGTTTTTCTTTGATTATATTTAGGCTTTCCTATATTTTCTTCCTAAACTGAAAGATTCTTCCTAAAAGAAAGAAAGTGTGTTATCTAGATATTTTCCCTCTCATCTGAATTAATATTCTGAATGCGTATTGATTAATGTAAATCATAAAGAATGAGAGGAAATGCTTGTACGATCGTGTAAAGTGATGATCAATAAGATTCATAGTTTCCTATAACTACTTTGACTGATCGAATGCGTATCATATATTAAATGACCAACCGGAAGATTGAGTCGCTGGCGATTCGGACACAGTGTCCGAATTGACACTTTATTATTTAAATATTTTTGGGTGACAATTCGGACACCTGCAAATTATAGAGGAGAGATAGAATGTCCTATCATATAGGTTCTACACACACGTGCACATACACACACACACACACACACACACACAAACACACATACCAGTATTTAGTTTAATTTTATCCTTTAAAAGAAAAAGTTATTTTGTAATTATTTAAAGTTAAATGGAGTAGTTATTTAGTTACCTTAATGTATATCTAATATGTATGAGATTCTAGGGAGGAGCAGAACCGCCCAACACAAGCATCACTACATGCTTCCTGGGTAGTTCTGGCAACAGAATATTATTGTGAAATAAGGTTAACGAAGTAAACTATCTTTATTATTTTATTTATTTATTTATTTATTATTGAAGCTCTTTGGTAAAGTCGGTGTATGGTTAGGTTACGATGCGAGCGGGTTGACGGGCGGCGCCGACGCGGCCGCGGTAGAGGGGGCCGACGCATACACGCTGCAGTACCAGTACTACGAGCACCTGCGACGGACCAACCCCGCCGCCTACCTGCAGCTGTACAAGCGGCTCGTGCAGCCCGACTACCGCGCCGTGCCCGCGCTCTACCCGCACGGTGAGTGAGAGTGTATATATAGTACACGCTGCAGTACCAGTACTACGAGCACCTGCGACGGACCAACCCCGCCGCCTACCTGCAGCTGTACAAGCGGCTCGTGCAGCCCGACTACCGCGCCGTGCCCGCGCTCTACCCGCACGGTGAGTGAGAGTGTATATATAGTACACGCTGCAGTACCAGTACTACGAGCACCTGCGACGGACCAACCCCGCCGCCTACCTGCAGCTGTACAAGCGGCTCGTGCAGCCCGACTACCGCGCCGTGCCCGCTCTCTACCCGCACGGTGAGTGAGAGTGTATATATAGTACACGCTGCAGTACCAGTACTACGAGCACCTGCGACGGACCAACCCCGCCGCCTACCTGCAGCTGTACAAGCGGCTCGTGCAGCCCGACTACCGCGCCGTGCCCGCGCTCTACCCGCACGGTGAGTGAGAGTGTATAGTACACGCTGCAGTACCAGTACTACGAGCACCTGCGCCGGACCAACCCCGCCGCCTACCTGCAGCTGTACAAGCGGCTCGTGCAGCCCGACTACCGCGCCGTGCCCGCGCTCTACCCGCACGGTGAGTGAGAGTGTATATATAGTACACGCTGCAGTACCAGTACTACGAGCACCTGCGACGGACCAACCCCGCCGCCTACCTGCAGCTGTACAAGCGGCTCGTGCAGCCCGACTACCGCGCCGTGCCCGCTCTCTACCCGCACGGTGAGTGAGAGTGTATATATAGTACACGCTGCAGTACCAGTACTACGAGCACCTGCGACGGACCAACCCCGCCGCCTACCTGCAGCTGTACAAGCGGCTCGTGCAGCCCGACTACCGCGCCGTGCCCGCGCTCTACCCGCACGGTGAGTGAGAGTGTATATATAGTACACGCTGCAGTACCAGTACTACGAGCACCTGCGACGGACCAACCCCGCCGCCTACCTGCAGCTGTACAAGCGGCTCGTGCAGCCCGACTACCGCGCCGTGCCCGCGCTCTACCCGCACGGTGAGTGAGAGTGTATATATAGTACACGCTGCAGTACCAGTACTACGAGCACCTGCGACGGACCAACACCGTAGTGAGACTAGCTGAGTTTACATTATCTAAGCCTGCTCCACGAAAAATTTTATTTTGATAATATATTGGGGTCGATTCTGGCGTGATTCTCTAAACTTAAAGCTAAATGTAATATCAGTCTCTCATTTTCATACTATATAGAGAATGACAAGGATAAATTTAAGTTTAGGTTTAGAGAATTATGCCAGAATCGACACCATTGTTTAAATTATAATCTCAAGTTGACGAAATGAAATTTAGTTTAAACGTCGTTCGTTGGCGAAAGTTCGCTACGGAAAAAGAGAGTAGACACTACTACACGTGAGGCTCACCAATCATCTTACCCGGATTTGCTCTAAACAAAAACGTTTACAAAACGATGAAGAATTTTATAAACCGCTATTTTTCAAACCGGTTCCGTCCCTTGACCTCAAGTATAATTGAGGCCATGAGAACCGTAGTGGCCTAACTCATTTTTTACAATATTGAGTTTATGATTTTTTCCAGTTTAAATTGATCATTTTGATAGAACCAGAGCGGTCTAAAAGTTATACAATGAATATTCACTAGATGGCAGCATAATCACTGTTACGGTTTTTAGTCTGTGCTCTAAATTTGAGGTGCCATACTGGCCTAAGTAAGATAGGCCACTATGGGTAAAAAATGAGTTAGGCCACTATGGTTCTCAATTTTAGATGTTATTTGAGATAATTAAAGGTACAAAATTTGGCAGAAATCGAGGATCTCCTTTAAACCAAAGTAAGATTGCAGCGTAATATTTAATTCAATACAGTTAAAAAGGGTATGAAGCGTAATTTATTATTTTTTATATTATTCTTGACTGTCTTAACATTTCGGTTCCCTAACAAGCCAAAAGAATGGGATAGGCGTGCATAAGTACATAGGAGATACTCCACTATTATGTATATTTATAATTATGTAGCAATATGTGTATGTAGGTACTAAATAGTTTTTGTAAATCGACGATCAGTATATGTATTATTACTGCATCTAGCATAATAGTTATTTATTATACAAGAGTGGAAAGTTCCTTTTTAACCGCGTGCTCGATTTGGATGACCGAGCAAAATTAGAATCCTGAGCGTCAGCGAGGGAAACAAACGAGCACAAGGTGAAAAATCTTTCCACTCGAGTGCAATACGTAACTTTTCATCCCACCTCAGCGAGGAAATGACAAAATGAAAAAGAAAACAATTTATAATGACAAAATATTTAAGCAATAAAACGTGAAAAACTAGAATGGCGCGAAGCACGCAAATAAAACAAAGAAACCAAGAAGGTTCCAAATTTAAATTTTTTCACAATTTAAAAAGTTCTAATCATAAATTTGGCACCATAGAGGTTACATTAAATAGGTTTAATGACGTTTTGAATTTACAATTATATTGAGTACTCATTATATGTGATGTTCTAAATTCAAATCTACTTTGCCGCTCAAGCGAATAAAATAGAATTTTCCAGCCAGATTTCGAAGCGCAAAATTACACTTTCCGAGGTGGTGGGATGAAAAAAACTTTTTTTTATACAGTAGCGGGCGGGTATGGCGAGGAACGCGGCAGTCTGCAGTCAGGACGCTCCTCTGCGACCGGCCTCAAGCACGACACGTGAGTATACACCCTTATCTCACGCGGCTGGGGCAATCTGTGGCCCTGAACGATATTAAATACCCTAGATACAACATCGCGAACAAAATCGTGGCCGAAACCTGTCCAAAAGGTACATTGGACGATCCACGGAGCTCCGTAAGATGAGCGCGTAGTCAAAAACAATATAAGGCATTATTGAAACATATAAAGTAACATTTAATGCATACTGTATAAGGTCTTAATTAGAACGCATGCGTCAAAGAGTTATGACAGTTCGAAATTCGAATCCCAAAATCAAATAACCTATATGGGTAACGAACATTACTTTTTATTGTTCCAAATTCTGAATGCGCTGTTAGCAATATAGCAGGTACGGACCGCGAGGAAAAGAGACGGCTATATTACCGACCATGCATTTGAATATCACAAATATTTTCTGTTAAATCAGTTTATAGTAATTATTAGAACAAAATTTGCCTCAAATGCATTAAATTAACTAACATTGATTAGGTACCTGTCGGAAAAACTAAATTTTACGTATTATAAGTATTTATTTCTCATTTTTTCACAGAGCTCTGCGGCATGTTGACTTTTCAATGGTCCATGCGTGACTTTATACCAAGAAGTGCTTGAGTGGAGTTCAAGCACTTCTTGATTGGGACACTTTTTGGGCGCACGTGGTGTCCCTAGGGTATTTAATATCGTTGGTGGCCCTAGCTCCATACAAACTAAACATAATGTAACTTGTGCCCAACGGAGAATACCCAGGGGGCTAATAGTCAATTTGCTCCTTAATTCCCTTCAAAACTAAAGCATGCAAGTATTTATTTATTTTTAAACTCGATTGAACAAAAAGTATACAAGAATACAATAGGTAGCCTTAATGCTAATAGCATTTTCTGCCAGTCTACCTTGGGGAAATCCGAAAATACAAACAAATCACGAAGTATCAATGTGACATAATCTCCTACCCTCTTATTAATAAACACGGAACAAGCTTACACAAGTTACGCCATGTTTTATTCTTGTCACTCTAATGCCATTTGTCATTCAATAAACAGAGACACAATATGGGGTAAGTAATTCGAAGTTTTTGTCTACGGTTCTTTATAAGGGGATTAAAATCAAATGAACACAGGAGTGTAAGTTAGACATTTAGGCCCCTGGACTAATAGCATCTGTAAGTATACTATACTTACTATCAAGAACGGAATAATTTAGTATGTTAAAGAGTTAATAGAAAAACAGTAAGGCTTTTTGCGATTAGGTCGTTGCTTGCTATAAAGAAGTTGGTTGCAGACTTAATTTGACTTAAATAACATTGGGCCAAGAGTTTAGCGCCTACCGTAGTGCTTTATAGATTAAGCATACAGGGCTTAAGTAGTAAAAGCAAATTTGTCTAAGTATAAGTAATAAAAGTTGTGACAACAGAATATATTGATATCGAATCCGCATTGTGTTTTGTCTCTGAACTAAGACATATGGTTAAACATAAGCCTTTTAGTCAATATCATAATTGTCTCGTCTCTTATTTACATTTCACAGTAACTCTTGCGAAGTATAATTGTGATTACTGAACTCATAACAACCAACGGAATGTCAACATCTATTGTTAACGATGTGCTATGATGGATGAATGACTTAATTTACAAACCATTGTACAGAGATTCACTGGGTTCATATTAAACTTCAAAAATATAATTTTACTTTGTATATTATTGGCAATATCATATCTAGCAAGAACATGCCCTGGTGGTGTAAATCAACACGACTTGAGAACTACCTTATTTTTAAATTGAATTTATGACATGTCAAGAAATCTAAACTATATTCAATGTAGTATAGCATTGATATCAGTTTATTTACATTTCAAAACAATGAAATATATTCCTCATAAAATCGTTTTTTAGGCAAATATTATATTTTGTAACGCAGTTGAGAGTTTTTCTATGAAAAATCTATGACGAGGAATGAGAAGCAGGGAAATAATCATTTGTACATTATGGGTGTAGTCCGTCATATATACCAATGTACTGGCCAGTGCTAATGACGTCATGAGTCGATGCTATACTGGTGAATTGTTCCGTAATATATTGGCCAGCGCACTGACGTCATAAATCGACGAAATTTTAAAGAGAGTGCGAATCAAGAAGATTTTTTATTCACCTCATCAATTAAAAGGAATTCTTTTTGTTCGGATGCCATTATGATTCTTTAAATAATGAAGAAATAAAATTCGAATGCATCTCACGCACGATCGGTCATACGTCACATTCGTTATCCCGGTAAAAAATATGGTAGCATACCAGAACAAGATGGCGTCGGATTCGTGACGTCATTAGCCAGTATACTGATGTATATTTCGGATTACATCCTATATCACAATCACATTGATTTTGGATGCACCTGCAGCGCTTTAACATTACGCTTTGAGTTTGGTACCGAGTGTCACCTTTCATCCTGATTATTTTTCATCATCATTAACCACACATTTACCGGTTACATGAATAACTTAACGGCCTGACGCACTGTACATTGCGACTTTTTACAAAGCCTATCATACTGCCGAACCACGGTATTACACACACAGTTGATTTATTAAAGTTTCTCTCATTCATATGTCTTAAAGGTGGGGATGGACTTGGTTCACCAATGGTATAAATTCTGATGAGACTTTTAATAATTAAACTATGGAATAATTTTATTTATGATTATTGTTATAATTACATATTCAATGCTATATAACTTTAATTTTAATAGAAAGAATTGCTTGCTTAAATATTCCATAAATTACGTCACACGAATTTCACGATTTTTTGCCCCTCCCCCCGTCCTTGTCACAGCTGGTTACATTGTGAGACTCCCCCCTCCCTAGTGTGACGTCACATATTATTTTGTAAAGGACACCCGGCATTTTGTGCCAAAGTTGTATACTTTTTTAATTTTTTTATCTATGTTTCATAATTGGGTAACGTAGTCTGGCAATATTTGTCATCAGCAGCTAGCTGTCAATGTCAAATACGTAGGTTTGTCATCAAAAGGGTTTCTATATCAAAAAACATTAATCATTAAATAACTTCTTTCCACGATTCACTAAAAATAAGGCAAAAGTAGTTTTATGTAGCAAATAACTTTGGCTTTATTTTGAGACCAAATTCAACTGTATACAAGTTTAGCATTTTTTCTATGAAAAGTGCCGGGTCTCCTTTACATTTAGAAATTATTGACTGAAAACAGCGGTTCCGAAATCAGTTTTATTTCCATTTTTTTTTTTTAATAATATTAACATCAAATCAAACAACGATTATGTTAACTAAAGAAATTACCAAAGAAACAACGATTGACTACGTTAATTAAAGAAATTAACAAAACAAAAATATTAATAGCATTAACTTTAAATTAAAGATACAAACTTAATAATCTTGAGACCATGGACATTCAACCCACTCCTGTAATTGTTTATAACTGGCATAGCAGCCACATTGTTCTCGCTTGGGTTGTTAATGTTTTCGTTAAGTATGTAGTGTTTGTTTTTAAACAGAGCGTGACACTGACACACGTAGGACAGCTGTTTTGTCTATGATAGCGAACCGCTTACGTCAGCGTAGCTGTCAAACTTCATTGATTGGGTTGGTAGCCTTGAGGGAAGAGTCGATTTTCCTATTCGACTAAAATATTCGCCTTGAGACTTATAAAAAAAAAAAAAAAAAAAAAAAAAAGTATTCAGGCGGTGAATCTCTGTGGGGGCGCGTGGATGAATGGATGGAGTTTGACAGTTGTTGAATTTTGAATAGTCTTTCCCAGATCGATTTGAGTCCTCCTTATCGGGTGCTGTTTTTAATCGATTTTGAATTTTACTCGAAATTGAATTTCCTCGCTGATTCGGGTAGGTATTCCCTTTTCCTCAGCTTACGGCGAGCGTAGGTATATAGTTTTGAGTTTATTCTTCGGTTCGTCTCGAATGCGGCGGCTGTCTGTTTGACTGTGGCCTTTGCCTTCAGTTGAAGTGGGAAACAAATCATAGACACATGTTTGGGAGTAGCCGATCCGTCTATCATCTATGAGCGATTGTCAAAACAACTTTTAAAATTTCACAATCTGTTTGTGGTACAGTTAACTTTTCATCTTTTCTTCTGCCCAAAGTATAATAAACGGCATATTATTGTCGTCGAAGTCGTGAGATAGATCCGAAAAGTTTATATCCCGAAGGATATTGGCGGAAAAAGCGCGGAGTCGCTAACCGAACTGAGTTTCGTGGACGAACACGAACCTTCACAAGGCGATTGCAATAATAAGGCGGTAACTTGTGATAGGAAACAAAATACTTACGGATAGTTTCATAATTCGAACGGCTTGTACGTTCCCCTCAAGAAATACTGGAGGACTAACAAGGAGACTTTTGTTCTGTGCACGGACCAGAAGGGGCGCGGGAGTTTATTTGCCAGCCGCTCTCCGGTTTTATGTAGCCCGGCCGTAACAGCGGACAGATTATACACAGCTTAACCTATCATAATCAAGGTATTTCTCTACTAACCCCGGGTGAACGTGAAAAGGAAACAACAGGCGAGGTTGGACCCCGACTTACCCATTTCCATATATTTACATATATCTATATAGCTGGTTATCTCACTGAGAACTAGAATTAACTAAGTTTGTCACCAATATCGATCAAACGAGCCGTAGAACCTCTGAAATCCACTAAATAGCTTATTCAGTATAGTCTATGTGGTATTTGTGGATAAAAAAAATATTAGTAAGTATTATATTGTAAGTACATGGTAAAGTGTTATGAATGTCTGATATTCTTATAATTATAACCTTTCCTGACAACTTGTTGGTTTATATACACATTAACTTTGAACTACTGTATTCAGCTTAGATATTTATAATTAGTGAAACATAGTTATTATATAAATAATAAACATAGTTGGACTTGTTGATTTATATAAGCAATAACTTAAAACTACTGAATTCCTATGCTTTGGTATCTAAAGTGGATAAAATATACTTATAACATT